AAAGGAGGAAATAAACAGCCAGATCATTGAAACAGGCAAACAAGACCCTTACATTAGATGCTCACTCCTGGGCTTCTTTTTGTTCGTAGATAGAATTTAATTGAGCATCTAATTGTGTCCATCTCTGGGGCACACCCTCACTTACACTTTCAATTGACGATTTGTTGGTGGTTCATTATTGGTTTTTAATTCAGAAGATGATTTTCTATGCTAATTTGAAGGGGATGAACAGGAAGATATTGTAGGCCTGGCAGACTTTATACCATCAATTTAAAATTTTGTGAGTCAGGCATTGTGGCTGGGGCTCATAAGCAGAGGCAGGGGGGTCAGGAGTTCAAGAGCAACCTGAGATAGAGAACAAGTTCCAGGTTTGTAATGGATTATTAAAAATGCTGCAGGATCCCCGGTGGCAGCAGGCAGCAGAAATGCTGCAGGTCCCCAAGGGGTGGCAGCAGGCCATGTGGTGGCAGGCAGCAGGCCCTGAGAGCAGCCAGTCCCAGGCAGGGACGGCTGCAGGTCCCCGAGCAGTGGCTGGTCCAGGGCAGGGAGACACGCGGTGGGCAAGAGACAGAGACATGGATAGGCACGCCATGCTGAGTGAGGTTGGATATTTATTTAGTGGCTATAGAAGGGAGGGGAGAAGAGAAGAAGAGCAGAGAGAGAGGGAGAAAGAGAGAGAGAGAGAGAGAGAGGAGACACAGAAGGGGGAAGGGGAGAAGTGGGGAGAAGCAGAAACTGCCTCTTTGAGAGGGAGATAGAAAAGAGAGGGAACTCAGGCTGGAAGCTGAAGATCAACCTGTCTCAGCAGACAGGGGAGGGAGTGGGTGTGGCTTGTCTCTTAAAGAGACAGAACAGATCATTACAAGGTTAGCCTAGGCTTTTTACAGAAGAAGAGCCTGTCTCAAAATTACCAATAAAAGAAAACAAATGGGGGTCATATGAGCAAGATAAATTGTGGATATATATAAAATAGTCAACAAGATAAATTCCAGCATGCGTTTAGCAGCACAAGGGGGCATTATCAAGGAGTTGCTAAAGGAGAGTGACCTATTGCATTGTTAGGAGCAGAGTGTGTAAGCCTCTTGATGCAAATGAGGGTCCTAGATTGCTTGGGGCATTGTTAGGAAAGGAGTGTGTGTCTAACACAAGCCAAGTGCAGTTCTAGGTTCTAAGCCATACTAAGCTTGACTGCCTCTAGGAGTTCCTAGAGGGAGGCCATGGGGCCAGGAGAAGAGTGTAATAGACCCATTTACTGTCTGATGTGTTCCTCAGTGAGGAGAGTAACAAGACATTGTTGGGTATTTATAAGCGTATTAGTCACTTTTCTGCCGCTGTGATAAGACATCATGACCAGTTTGAGTTCTTCACCTACTGACGTCTCCCTAGCTTCCTAGTTTGCATTTAGAAGGAAGGAAAGTTTGACACATGCTACAAGGTGGGTGAACCTTGAAGACCTTATACTAAGTCAAGTTTACCGAACACCAAAAGACAGCTATTGTACAAGTGATTCTACTGTGTAAGGTGTAGACCACAGAGGCTAGCACCAGACCCTGACAGTAAGGGACCCAGGATAGGCAGGGTCACAGGAACAGAAGGCAGAATGGTGGCTGTGGAGGCTGGGGAGGATAGGGGCAGGGAGCTGGTGCTTAATGGGCAGTGTCAACTGAGGGAGGCGAGAGCACCCTGAAGGTGGCGGTGGAGAAGTGGTGTACACTTACGTCTATTTTACTACAATAGAAAGTCGCCCACAGGGGAAAAGGGAATGGGCTTGTGGCTCCAGCCTGTAGTTCTAGTTCTTGGGGATGGGAGACAGGAGTGTCAGAGTTCAAGGTCATCCCGCAGCACTTAGCAAGTCTGAGGCCAGCCTGGGTGATAGCTCCAAAATGAAAAAGGAATAAAGCACTACTGCTTTTTGAATAATTAATTATATGCATGCTTTTATTTTATAACATTAGTTTTTAGAAAGCTATGAAGGTCATGTGTGTCATGAGTGTTTGTATATAGATTGATATTTTGACACAGGGTTTTCTGTAGCCCAGAGTAGCCTCGAACTCCCCATGCAGCCGAGGATGATCTTGAGTTTATGACCCTCTTGTATTCTGTCTTTTAATTACAGGGATTACAAACATGTAATCCAGTTGTTTCATCCAGTTTTAGGTTTAAGGCAGTGCTGGGTTTGGGTCCAGCTCTCTGTGCATGCTAAGCAAGGACCCTGCTAACTGAGCTACATCACCAGCCCATGTACACAGATTTTATGACATAATTTGGACTACATAGAGGCCATTTACCCTCCCCCCACCTACTTCTTATCTTTGGTCTCTTTAGATAAGGATAGCTATTTTTAATTAGGAGAAGTGCTATTGTAGATAGATATTTAGAGAATACACCAGGAGAATTTGTAATCCCAGAGTACTAAATGTGCACATTGGCACTACAAATAAAGGCACAAATTCATCCAGCTTGGATGATGGCCTTGTCATGCTGGAATTTCCCTTTCCTGACTCTGTTCTGCTCAGTGGCCTGGGTTCTTGATCTATGGTCATGGCTTGGGGAAACCCATAACTGAGTTGGTCCAGGAACTGGGTTGGACTCTGAGTGAATTAAAGATATATTTTCATGTGATGTGTGTTGTCAAGCTGATTTCTAGGTCACAAGTTTATTTTATTTTTAAAGTGTATCTTATCATTTTGTTTGTATGGGTGTTTGCCTGCATGTATATCTGTGCACCATGTGCATGCAGTACCCCTGGAGGCCAGAAGAGGGCATTGGATCTCGGGGATTAGGGTTTGTGAGCCCCAACGTAGTGCTAAGGAACAAACAACTATCTTCTCAGGAGAGCCATTTCTCCAGCCCCCACAAGTTTATTTTGTAACCACGTTCCTTGACCTGGTATAAGTAGCAGGGGAACGTGTTGTGATTTCCGCACGTTAGGGACCCTCACCCATGGCAGGTGAGGAACGCGGGCAGGAGACAGATTTGCCATGCAGAGTTTGAGTGCGGAGTTTATTGAGATAAAGGAATGGGGGAGAAGAGGGAACGGGAAGAGAGACAAAAAGCTGCCTCCTCAGAGAAAATGGCAAAAAGGAAGAAAGAGGGAGTGGGAGGTCTCTTCAAAGGGACCTTTTTCACCTGCATACAGACTAGGACCCTGGGCTGGTCAGGGTACTGCCTGGGTGCATCCTGCCAGATGTCAGGGCAGGCCAGCATAATGCCTGAATCCTCACAGTATGCATATTTATTTCCTTCTGGTTTTAGACAATAAAAGCCTAGCTAGCTTGGCAGTAAGTTCAGCTTGTCACATGAAGTCCTAATTCAAGTCAGTGTCTCTTTAAATCTACTGACCGAGGAAGAAACAAGCTGGGGACACACACAGGCTTTGCGCAGCCTCCAAGACCACAGAGGCGGGCCAACCTTTCGGCTAGGCTGCTTGGTTTTGACAGCTCGCCATTCCTCTAAGCCGTTATTTCTATAAAGCACTGCTGTGTCTTGCTGTCCCATCTAAATTTTCCTTTTTGTTTACAGTATGAGATGAGAACGGAAGCCCGGCGGAAAAACCTTCTCATTTTGATTTTGCATTATTTAACACAAGAAGGGTATGTTATCACAGTCGATTATGGTGATGCCCCTCTGCTCTGACCCTTTGAAAGCACGGACCAGACATTACTTTTAGAATAGCTTTGTGTTTACAGAAAGATGAGCAGAAAGTATAGTGACTCCATATATACTCTCTCCCCGTCTGTTTCCTATCTTACTATTACTATTAATAATATTACTATTATTATTTGTAGTGTTGGCAGTGGATCCCACAAAGCACTCTACAACTGAGCTCCAAGCCAGTCCTTTATTATTAACATCTCGAGTTAATTCAGTTGATTTGTTATAACTGGCGAGGCCTGCACTAATACAATGACATTCTCCGAGTTCATAGTTAACTTCATGGCATTTTACGACAGCAACAGAAAAGTACCCAAATACACACATATTTAGCAAAAAATGAGGAAAGGCAAGCCAAAGACAGTTTCTTAGTGGACTGGCTTATTTGACTGCCAGCACTTTCAAACTAGTTTTGAACAATGGTAGCATCATTAGATGCCCCCAGAAGCAGGTGACTTCCAGACAGCACTGTTGTGAATGACAGTGTTTGGATACATTTAACATGTGGTGCAGTTACATGTCTGTAATGATAACATTTGGATACATTTAACATGTGGTGCAGTTACATGTCTGTAATGATAACGTTTGGATACATTTAACATGTGGTGCAGTTACATGTCTGTAATGACAGTGTTTGGATACATTTAACATGTGGTTCAGTTACATGTCTGTAATGATAACGTTTGGATACATTTAACATGTGGTTCAGTTACATGTCTGTAATGATAACGTTTGGATACATTTAACATGTGGTTCAGTTACATGTCTGTAATGATAACGTTTGGATACATTTAACATGTGGTGCAGTTACATGTCTGTAATCTCAGGGCTTCAGGGGCTGTCACAGAAGGATCATGAGTTCTAAGACAGTTTGAGCTATTTAATGAAACCTTGTCCCTAAAACAACCACTTGAAAGCAAACAACAAAACCAAAACCACCAGCAAACAAAAATACCCCTCCTCAATACAACAGCATTAAAAAACCCGAACCACAGGCAGAATATTGTATACATAATAAATAAATAAACAAATGAATATTTAAAAAAAAAAGAAAAAAAAAACCCGAACCAGAAAACAAAATCCAACACAAACCATAAAAGCCTATGTAAGGTTCCTTATCTAGAAAAATCTCTTCCTCGCCAGTTTTTCTATGATGTGCTGCTTACAGTCTGCTTGTTCTTTGTGTTGAATCTCTTTGGATCTGCACCCTCTGTTTGCTTTTATCCTTACACCCGACTTAATCTTTTCTCTTCTGTACAACTGCCAGCTATATCGATACGGCTAAAGCACTGGAGGAAGAGACTAAGCTGGGGTTACGGCGCTTTGAAGTTTGTGACAACGTTGACCTAGAAACAATTTTGATGGAATATGAGAGCTATTATTTTGTAAAGTTCCAGAAGTACCCCAAAATGGTTAAGAAGGCGCCAGAGACAGGTACATAGTTTTGGTCTATATCAGAAAGTACATCAGAATGGTATTTCCAGTGCCCACATCTGTAATCCCAAACTCAGGGAGGTGGGGACCTGAAGATCATAAGTCTGAAGACCAGCTTGGCCTATCCCTCCCACTAACCAAAGGTGTTCCTTCTGTGCCTAGAAGAGTAGACCAGAAAGATCTGGAGCCCATCTCATACCCAGAACTGGCCATTCAAACACGATTGCCTGGATTTTTTTTTTCTGAGACAGGGCTTCTCTGTGTAGTCCTGGCTGTCCTGGAACTCACTCTGTAGACCAGGCTAGCCTCAACCTCACAGATATTCATCTGCCTCTGCCTCCCAAGTGCTGGGATTAAAGGTGCATGCCACCACTGCCCTGCCGATTGCCTGGATTTTGACATCCGCTAGTCTTTGTGGAGTTTGTTTGAGGACTGTGTTTTAGGGTAATGAGAGCAAAGCCCCAGTGTATTGAAGGAGCTCTTTAGAAGAAAGCCAGCATTGACTTCTGGAGTGATGGAAAGGGCTGCTGGAAGACGATAAATGACAGAAGACGTCTTGTTAGGAAGACCTATTATCTATCTTGAAAATAACATGGAAATGAGTATTGGGGAAGCTAATAGCTCATGTATAGATAATGAAATGTTTTTGAAAGCCATCAATCTAGATGGTGATCAATATAATGCAAAGGCCCAGGATAGGTCAGCAGTCAAGGAGGCTTTAGCCGAGGGCCTAGGTTTGTAGTAACATTGACTTAGAAGTCTGTAAGTAGGGGAAGTAATTACAAACCGAGGGAGATCATTGTCCTGTTTACAAGGCACTTGTTAAGCCACAGACGTTAACATTTCATGTAGGGACCAGGAAACCAAGAGGAACGTCAATTAAAAATAGCCAGGACCAAATCTAGACTTGAGGGAAGGTCTGCAATTTTAATTTTCTTTCTTTTCTTTTTTCTTTTTAAAATTTTCTCTGAGCTCTCTTCCAGTGAAGGGTTCAGAGCTCAGCTTGTTTGGCTGGTTGTTTGATCTGGGCACTGGCTCCTGCACAGAGAGACAAGCCCTGTTCTCAAGGAGCTGATTTCTAGGTGGACTGCCCTCATCTAGCCTGGCACCCGTTTTCTCCTGTGAGATTGAGCACAGTGGCTTAATTCGAAAGGTCAGTTGGCAGAATTTAACTCAGTCAATGTTCCTCTCAGACTCATGCAATCCTGGAGTGCCATGTGACCCAGAAAACAGTGACAAATTCGTGAAATCTCAGTGGAGTGGCTAGCCTTAGAGGCGGCCTGTTGTGGGCATGGCCCACATGTGCGGCCACGGTGGTTTTACTGAGGCCTGGGTCTCTCTCTGTGTGGCTCCGAATGCCTGAGAAGCTGTGGTCCCTTCTGCTCTCCGGGGCCTTCACTTCTCATTAGAACAGCTGTCTGTGGTCCGGAGGCTGAAGCACACACTGTAGGACCTTGTAAGAGCACTGCGAAAGAACAATGTACCTAAAAGTTTGCTTGCTCTCTCTTAAGACTAAATTCTCCCCCATGTTTGTTTTTCCACAGCAGAAAATAATTTACCACCAAGAAGCGGAGGGAAGAACAACAGAAGGTAAAGTGATTCATGACTTGTCATCATCAATTTAACTTTTTTTTTTTTGAGACAAAGTCTCTCTATATAGCTCTGGATGTCCTGGAACTCCCTCTGTAGATCAGGCTGGCCTCGAACTCACAGAGATCTGCTTGCCTCTGCCTTCTGAATGCTAGGATTAAAGGAGTGCACTGGCATGACAGGCCTGATTAGCTTACCGCTTAAGAGTCTGTGGGATCTCTTTCCTAAAGAGTCTCCAGTGCAGCTCCATGTCTGCTAGCAATACTAGACTGAGGTCATGTGACCTTGGAGTCCCCTCTTGTCGCCACTGCCTAGACTTGAGCCAGCGTCTTCAGATTCTCCCGGGGTCACTGCACTTTTCTCTCAATGCTATCCAGTCTTTCCTGGCCACGTGGCTTCGACAGTCCGGGTCTTCAAGGTTAAAAGATTGATGCCCAGTTTCCACAACATAACAAGTATGAAGATGGAGCAAGCTTCTGGTTTATGTCCCAGGGTTGGCTGGCTTGGGGCAGCAGAGACTGTAGGATTTTGTTAGTATAAAAAAATCCAAAAGCTCGGGGGCAGATGAAAGTACAATTCTGGCAGGAACTACACTGTATACTCAGTTTATGCCATGAAAAAAATCATTTTCCAAATCTTAGAATGTGCCAGAAAAAGGAAACTCAGATTTAGGTAAGTTATTAGGTCTTGAGAGGTGTGCGTTCTGTGTGTCCTTTCAAGGGCCTCGGTTCTGCGACTTCAGTTCCCTGTATCCAACCCGATAAGGAAGAACCAGAGTCCTCCAAAGGGCTCTTGGCATCCTCTGTAGCAATGGCTGGCTGGAGCCCATGCCATAACAGCGGCTGTCACCATCTTCTGCCCGAGCCACCACTGCTTTGCCCTGTCCTTTAGGGACAGTGTCGCTGCCTCGATGGGGTTCTGTTGCCCTGTTCATGGTTCCCGTGCAGCTAGTCGGTCTCTGCTGATGCTAAAACAGCTTGTGCATAGCAACAGCGAGGGCATTTAATAGGCCAGCCTTGCACGTCCTTGGGCTCCGCTTGTCTTTCAGTGCATTCATGCCTGCTGTGTGCTCAGGGCACGTCACTTGGGGTTTCCTCAGTTCTTCTGGGTTGATGTCTGTGTGTGGCAAGCACAAGGGCTGAACCCCAAATGCTTAGTCAGGGAGGAGAATCAGAAAAGCAATGGGCAGTGTTTCTGGCCACTGTGGGCTTTTTAAATTTTATTTTTTTTTTATGTGTGTGAGTGTTTTAGCTGTCTGTAAGGATGTGCACCACATCTGTGCAGTGCCCACAGAGTCCAGAAGAGGGCATTAGATCCCCTGGAACTAGAGTTACAGGCAGTAGTGATCTTAGTCGCTGAACCATCGCTCCAGCTGCTCTGGGTGCTGTTTTATGCCAAGATGCTCACTCAGTAACAGGGTGTGTCATCGGGTTGACTTCCAGTTGTCTAAGTGTTCTTTCCTAATTTTGTGCCTCGCACCAGAGATTTCTCCCAGTTATGGATCTGCTGATAATCCAAGGAAGGGAAGTTAGCTAATGAGACAGGTGACAGAATTGGGGTCCCAAAAGGCTTGAGAATTTGGGGGATTATTTGAAGGTGTGTTGCTTTTGTTTATGCTGCATTTGTTTAACTCTGCGAAGCTGTGATTCTTTGCCTGTCTAAAACACCTGGTGGTCTAATAAAGAGCTGAACAGCCAATAGCGAGGCAGGAGCAAGGATAGGTGGGGCTGGCAGGCAGAGAGGATAGACAGGAGAAATAAGGAAGAGGGGAGCAAGAGAACAAAGAGGAGAGGACATCAAGGGCCAGCCACCAAGCTACACAACGAGCCATTGAGAAAGAAATAAAGAAAAGTATACAGGAATAGAGAAAGATAAAAGCCCAGAGGCAAAAGGTGGTCAGGATAATTTAAGAGAAGCTGGCAAGAAACAAGCCAGACTGAGGTCAGATATCCATAACTAAGAATAAACCTACATGTGTGATTTATTTGGGAGCTGGGTGGAGGGTCCCCTCAAAAGCCAGAAGAATCAAACATCACACAACAAAGAATTTGTGGGATGGGCCTAAGACAGTGGAATCTGATAGAATAAAGCTAGGCTCTCACAAGTCCCTTCCCCACTGCAAGATCAGAGACCTAGAAATCAAGTTAACAGTATGTTCACACAATGTACAAATATTTCACAACAATGCTGGTGCTTACATTTAGGGTAGGTCTTCCCTTCTCTATTGAACGTCTCTGAAAACAGCCTCACAGACATGCCCCAAGGTGTGCCCCATTAACGCCTTCGGCATTTCTTTTTTAAATTTATTTTATGCTTATGAGTGTTTTACCTGCACTTGTGCAGTGCTTGCATAAGTCAGAAGAAGGCATTGACTCCTCTGGAATTGGAATGACAGACAGTTATGAACTGCCACATGTATGCTGGTCCAGCCCCTCACCAGGTGTTTCTTACAGTCCAACCAAGTTGACAATCATAGCAAGAGGTTAGACCTTCTCAGTAGAATTCTCTTGAGCACAGGACTGATGGATAAAGTTAAGGCTGAAGAAGTTTGATTCTATATTCAGAAGAATTTTATAATTATTGGTGTTTTTGTCTTGAGTCATATCAAAGCAAACTTTATGGTTCATTTTGCTCTTGGCGGGAAATCAAAATGGGAGGACCAGAGTTCTGGGCCTTTGAGAGACCCAAATGGATGTTGAGACGCATGTGCGTGTTGTGTGTGTTACCTATAATTATATTTAAACCAACCCTATTAGTAGAATTTGCATGTATGAAATGCTTGATACTCATTTTATGATTATTTCATTTTTGTCGCAGCAAAAAGCCTGAAGGACAGATTTTCTAATGTCTAGGTTAGAGATGAAAAAAAGATGCCCTAGGAATGTTCCGTGTCCACTTCTCATGAGCTGAACATAAGGGTGTGGACATGGTAGTATTGTTGACATGGTATTTATATTAGACATGATCAACTTTTCTTTTCCATAATGAATTGAACTGAGGCAGAAGCTGTCTGAGATCATTTAGAATATGAGAGTCATTCCTCTAGTGACCCTACTGCAGATATCCTGCAAAGAGCTGAGAGGAGAGAGCAGCTTAAGGCATCAGAGCTCATGATGGCCTCTAAGAAGGTCCTGCGTGTCTGACCTTGTCTTTCATTGCAAAATGCAAACATCCCAATACCATTTTTTGCCTACTGATGAGGATGTACTGAACGGATTAGTTCTGCCCTTGTAGTGATGTGTGATGCACACTCAAGCGTGTGTGCTGTGACTCTTATGACAACTGCAGACTCCCTTTGTCCCCGCCACTTCTCGAAACCCCATCTCTACCAGCTACTCTTCTGACTTCCAGTCCCATCACTGTGTTTTTCCAGACAGGAACATACTGATGAGAAATAATTTTACAAAGATGAGTGATTTGTGACAGTAGACATAGACTAAGTTTGCTCTCTTTCCATAGTGGTGTATTTGTGTGTATCTGTGTGCAGTTATCTGTAAAGGTCAGAAGAATGTGTCAGACCTCCTGAAGATGGAGTTACAGGAAATTGTGAACTGCCCAATATGGGTGCTGAGCCCACGCTCTTTTTTTAAAAAAATATTTATTTATTATATATACAATATTCTGTCTGTGTGTATGTCTGCAGGCCAGAAGAGGGCACCAGACCCCATTACAGATGATTGTGAGCCACCATGTGGTTGCTGGGAATTGAACTCAGGATCTTTGGAAGAGCAGTCAGTGCTCTTAACCTCTGAGCCATCTCTCCAGCCCCAGCCCATGCTCTTAACCACTGACGCTATAGGTCCTTTGATGTTTTATACAGAGGAAGGATATTCAGTGTACAGGGTTACAACTCAGACAGAGCCCTGGATCTTCTGGCGTTTCATAACGTGAGAGGACAGACTGTCTCCTCCTGTCACCCCTGGGGATTCCCTGGTCTGATGCTTGTGAGAAGGGTGGGGGATGTTAGCACCGGGAGTATTCTTCCTTAGCAGTGGTTCTCAGCCTTCTCATGCTGCGACCCTTCAGTCAGCAGCTCATGTTGACGTGACCCCAATCATAAAATTATTTCACTACTACTTCATAACTGTAATTTTGCTACTGTTATGAATCGTGATGTAAATATCTGATATGTGAGATATTTGATATGTGACCCCTGTGAAAGGGTCATTTGAGTCTCAAATGGGTCGGGACCCACAGGTTGAGAACTGCTGTTCTAAAGCAATGTTTGTTGTTTTGTTTTTAAATTTTTTTAAAAAAAATCATTCATATGGGTGGGTTTTTAAAAACTAAAGCAACCTGCCAAGCATGGAACCTCTGTGGTGTGACGGAGAATGGAAGAGGGTGGATTGGGGGTCCCTGGGAAGGGTGGGCACTCCAGCTTGGTTGAGAGGAGCCCAGTGAGTAGTCAGGAGAGAGCTGGAGCCAAGTCAACTAGGAGCAAGTACATGGTGCAGCCGCACGAGCCTCACCGTGCTGTGTGCATAGAGCCTCACCGTGCTGTGTGCATAGAGCCTCACTGTGCTGTGTGCATAGAGCCTCACCGTGCTGTGTGCATAGAGCCTCACTGTGCTGTGTGCATAGAGACTCACCTTGCTGTGTGCATAGAGCCTCACCTTGCTGTGTGCATAGAGCCTCACCGTGCTGTGTGCATAGAGCCTCACCGTGCTGTGAGCAGAGCCTCACCGTGCTGTGTGCATAGAGCCTCACTGTGCTGTGTGCAGAGCCTCAGCGTGCTGTGTGCATAGAGCCTCACTGTGCTGTGTGCATAGAGACTCACCTTGCTGTGTGCATAGAGCCTCACCTTGCTGTGTGCATAGAGCCTCACCGTGCTGTGTGCATAGAGCCTCACCGTGCTGTGTGCATAGAGCCTAACCGTGCTGTGTGCAGAGCCTCACTGTGCTGTGTGCATAGAGCCTCACCTTGCTGTGTGCATAGAGCCTCACCTTGCTGTGTGCATAGAGCCTCACCGTGCTGTGTGCAGAGCCTCACTGTGCTGTGTGCAGAGCCTCACCGTGCTGCGTGCATAGAGCCTCACCGTGCTGTGTGCACGAGCCTCACCGTGCTGTGTGCATAGAGCCTCGCTGTGCTGTGTGCACGAGCCTCACCGTGCCGTGTGCAGAGCCTCATTGTGCCATGTGCATAGAGCCTCACCTTGCTGTGTGCATAGAGCCTCAGCGTGCTGTGTGCATAGAGCCTCACTGTGCTGCGTGCAGAGCCTCACCGTGCCGTGTGCATAGAGCCTCACTGTGCCGTGTGCATAGAGACTCACCGTGCTGTGAGCAGAGCCTCACCGTGCCGTGTACAGAGCCTCACCGTGCCGTGTGCATAGAGACTCACCGTGCTGTGAGCAGAGCCTCACTGTGCCGTGTTCATAGAGCCTCACTGTGCCGTGTGCATAGAGCCTCACTGTGCTGTGTGCATAGAGCCTCACTGTGCCGTGTGTACAGAGCCTCACTGTGCCGTGTGCATAGAGCCTCACTGTGCTGTGTGCATAGAGCCTCACTGTGCTGTGTGTACAGAGCCTCACCGTGCTGTGTGCATAGAGCCTCACCGTGCTGTGTGCATAGAGCCTCACCGTGCTGTGTGCATAGAGCCTCACCGTGCTGTGTGCATGGGCCTCACTGTGCTGTGTGCATGCGTCTTTCGAGAACTCCCTTTAAATGTGCTACACTAGTTATTTACTTACCTAGAATCAAATGGTTAGAATATGTTTGTGAAAGTTTTTGTTTCCTTCTTTAGGGTGACAAATGACAATTGTCAAAATTTCCCCAAGATCTGTCAGCAGAAGCCACGACCCAAAACCTCAATATTGAAGACAGGGGACACCAAATCTGTCAAGGACCATTCTAAACAGGTCACAATGACTGCTTGATGTTGTAATATCACACTTGGCTGATAAATGGCCTCAACAAAAATAGCTTATTTCTTTGTTGTTTTTGAAGTTCTCTTTTTAAAATTGCTGTATGGTTTAATTAAACTGTAGAGTTCCCTGAATACTGTAGATGTTTTAGTATGTTGGAAGAAAAAAATGGAAGAAAATGTACAAATTCCTAGATTTGCCAGCTCCTTCTCTAGTTTTAGCTCAGGGTGAGGGAACTGGATGGTTTGGGGCTGGCTGATAAGATCCTCATACCTGAGAGAAGTACAGAAAGGAGGTCTTCCCATCCCAAACGTGTCCTCCGGCTCCCCAGTGTGGTCCAGGAGCAGTCTAAGATACAGCTGGGCCTCGGCACCTCCTGCTGAGCTTCTGCAAAGCATGTAGGGTTACTCCTCACCCCTACCTCAACACTAGACTTTCTAGAAGGGAGGGCAGCAAGAAAAGTGGGTCCAGTAGATGGGTGAAGTCATTGGCTCCCGCCTCAGGAGATCTACGTCCAGAACCTTCTTATCTAGAGCAAATCATTTCAGGTTTTAAAGAGCAAGGGACAGTGGAAATCAGGAAAAGGAACAGCAAAGGTTACTGCTGAGGACAAGTGGGATGGGAAGAAATGATCACGGGATTCAGTTGTCTTGAAGAGGGTTATGTGCCCAAGGTAGAAGGGAGGTGACGTGGGACAGGTGAGTTCCACAGGGGATGGGCAGTCAGAGCCTGGGTCTCCGCTGCTTCCACATCTGGCTTCTCATGGTCCTTTTCCTCCAGGAGAATGTCAGTAATGCTCAAGTAGAGAATGCTGACTTTGGCCTAAACATATCAAAAATCCAGAAGAATGGCACAGAGGAAAAGGCCCATCCACAAAGAGTAAGTGGAACTCAGGACCCTAGGGTGGGACGGGGGAGTTTGTTTCTCTCTAGAAAAAGGAAATCACATAATTTTTGCCAAACATGATCATGGCAACAAAAGTATGAAAGGTTGGCTGTGGAGTAAGAAAGGAATATCCCAGGAGGACCAGAAACCCGGCATGCGATTCTGATCTGCCCGCTCCTTTCTGGAAGGACCTTCTAGAGTGATCCTTCTCTAGGAACCACAGGCTCCCCGTTTGCAAATGGACATTCAGAAGAGAGAGGGTTCTTTTCAGCTTAAAAATTCAGTGATCAGCAGGGGTGTAGTCAGGTGGTAGAGTGTTTGCCTGCTGGTCACAAAGGTCTGTGTTTGCTCCCTCCCTGCTATCAGAAATGGTTAGGAGAGCACCAAGAGCCCTGTGCTGACAAGACAGACATTGGTGTGCGGCACTAGAGTGAGGACAGCCCAGAGGGTCCCCTGCTTGTTTGTTTATGACCTTGCCAAGGGTAGTTGCTTAATGCCCTTCTGCTTAGAGGCATGCTCCAGACTTGAGTACAATTTATTTGTGATCCATGAAGATTAGTTGGTTTAGAGCTGATCCTGTGCTTAATAGATATTTCTGCTCCCCCTTTCCTTCCTCTTCCTCCTTGTTTTTTTATTTTGTTTTTTGAGATAAGGTCTCACTAGCTGGCACAGAACTTACTTTATAGATTAGGCTGGCCTCGAACTCACAGAAATCTGCCTGCCTCTGCCTCCCGAGTGCTGGGATTAAAGGTGTGCACCACCAGCTATTTCTTCTTTTTTTCTGATGAAACTCAGGTCTAGCTTTGTTAAAAAAAAAAAATAGTTTCTCCAAGAGAAAAGTCCCAAATGGGGTGGATGCAGCAAAGGTAGGGGTAGTGGACCCTTTGGCAAGAAGAGTACATGTTCCTCCTGAGGGACCCTCCAGGGTGTCCTTCATTAACTATTCTCCTTCAGCCAAGATGTTGAACCATGGGTTGCTGCCCTACACACAAACTGGTCGCTGTGGTGTGTGCTGGAAAGACTACCAGGCACACCAAGCCTGGGGACTGCCTTCCCTGGTCTGCATGGCTCCCTGGAGGCCTCAGGGAACTGATGAGGCAGGAGAGGATGCATTTGCCTCCCCCCAGAAAATGCTCCCTGTTAGTCCTCAGTGCCTTCTTCAAATTCTGAGTCCCCTGTGGTGTACCTAGCCATGCTGTGGCTTTAGTCTCTTGTGAATGCCTCACACTGATCTAAACGGTGCCTCTGCGCGAGTCACAAGGAAGGGGCCAGTTAACCCAGCACTTAACCTTTGAAATAGTCTACCCGTAAATTCTGTTTCTAGCAGAAATGGCATTGTGTAAAATGTAGATAGATTTTTTTTTCCCTCCTAGATTTTCAAATGTTCATGGGTTGGGTGACAGTGCCTAGGAGGTTTCCCCTACGAGGGTTTCTCATCACTGTGTTAGGGACTCTAGCGTTGGATTCTGACGCCTTGCTGAAGATGTCAAAAGTATGTTGTCCTTTGGAGTACAGGCTGGGGAGTCAGTTTGCCCAAGCCCAGAGTGCTGCAGTGGTCAGGTTGTGGTAAAGCCTTATGTTTGTTTGTTTTTGAAATCTGTAAAATGGAAACCATAGCACTGCCTGCTTTAACTGTGAGGTTGAAAGGAGAGCCCATGTCTTCGCTGCCGCACAATAGACAGTCGGTAAACACTGATGGTTGTAAGTGTGTCTTACCTGCGCTGTTGACTTCCTTTCTGGATTCTAAGGGAAACAGGACTAGAGCTTGGAAGATTATATTAGTTACTCTTTCTATTGTGACCAAATGACTGACAGTGGCAGCTAAAAGAAGGGAGGATATGACTCCCTGCTTTAGGGGATGTCCATCATGGCTGGCAAGGCATGGCAGGGTGTTTGTCTGCGGTAGTGAGAGCCTGAGGTTGAACTCCTTCCCTGGTGTACAGCCAGGATGCAGAAGCTAGAGTAAAGTTAGAGGTAAGTGTAACAACCATCAAAGGACCTCTGGCGGTAACCTAGGTCTGCCAGGCAGGCAGCAGTGCCTCCCGTGCCAGACCCATGCCGTTAGGACCAGATATTCAAACTCATGACATTTCAGAATCAAACATAATAGTAACCATCTGGGTTTGAGTCCTGGCCTCAGCCTACTGTTAGGCTTGTGGCCCTCGGTAAATTGTTTAACTTCCCCAGCTTCCCTTCACAGAAACAAAATTAAAATGTCACTCACCACTGGCAGGGGTGGCCTGAGAACCTTACCTACCTGTCTTGTCCCAGGTCATCCTCCACTGAATGAAGCGTGCAGTCAGCACACGGGCCTGTCTTTATCTGCGTCCCAGTGGGTTCTTCCTGAATATCTAACGTTTTAAAGGAGTGTGATCAGACAGGCCAAGTAGCCACAGAAGGAAGGAGATGCTGAGTGTCAGGGATGAAAAAAGTCCATGAATTTTACTCATCTAACTCCATTCTGAAGAATTAATTTAGTTTTGTTTTTCTACATAGTCCCAACTTCTGCAAATCATCTTATTCAGCAGTAGTTCAGCTTTCCCTTGAGATGAAATCTGCCTGCCATACAAGGGTATAGACACCCAGCTCTAAGGCTGCTCTGCTCTTGTGTGTTTGTGGCTTAAATAACCATTGCTCCCTTTTAGGGCCAAATCATTGACTTCCGGGGGCTGCTCACAGATGCTATCAAAGGAGCCACCAACGAACTCGCCTTGAACACTTTTGAATGTAACCCAGACCCTTCGGTAAGTGATTAAACCACCCAAATCTCGTGGAACTTCTAGGAGTATCACCCCGAGTCCAGAGAACTGTGAGATCTGGTCAAAGGTCATTGCAACCAGTCACCGTTAGTTTCTCCAAGATCCCACTTTCCTTCCTACATCGCGGCAGAGCAGTTTGTAAGGCCAGCCTTTCTGCTCCTCTCCCCAGGAGCGGCTGCTGAAACCTCTGAGTGCATTTATTGGCATGAACAGTGAGATGCGAGAACTGGCAGCCGTGGTGAGCCGGGTAAGATCTGCTGTTCAATTCACAAATTTATGGAGGCAGACCAGGACTCCTGGAGCATTGTGGGCTGCTTCTTTTATTAATAACAATAAATATGATCATTTATTTATAAAGTGCCCCCACTTGCAGAGGCACTCATATTGTTTAGAGGCACAATAATGCATGATAAATAAATTATAGAATCATAAAATTACAATAGAAAAAGCCCACCATCCTACTATAGGGGCCAAGAAAACAGACAGCAAAAAAGATGCAGAGAGGGACGGACAGGTGAAAGGCTTTCTGGCGGGCTCCAGAGCAGGGGAAAGAGGGCTCTAAGAAAAGCTCGGAGCACACGTGTGTTCTGTTTAAAGAGCCCCAGTCTGAAAATGCGGGGTCTGGGAGTGTGATGGCCTCACTTGGAAATTTCCTTGAACGTAACCAGATTAGTAAGAAAGATTTTTTACCACTAGGCTAAGGATACTTCAAGCTTGCACCGTGAACCTAAGGGCGGTGAAAATGAACATCTGGTGATGCGGCCCTGAAATCCTTTGACCTGCACTTGATTTCTGGAGCCTTCTCTTTCTAGCTGGATGGTTTTAAGCAAGCTTCTTAGGTTGAGAATAGATTATTGATTACAGATGACTTTTCTAATTTCCACTGATCTCAGTTTAATTGAAGAGGGAAACTGAGGTAAGGTCAAAAAGATTCTTTAAAAAAAAATCCTCCGAAAAGCATACAGTTGCTGAGCTGCAAGGACATCCGCTTCAGAGGCACTACCAGAGGCTGCTACGGACCTGCAGACAGAGGCAGTGACTCCACCCAGGCTTGCCTCGAGAGACTCTGGTTGGGTGGATGAGTGCATCTGGGGAGCAGCAAAACTGGGGTACAGAGAGGGGCAAGATTCTCCACCCTGAGCAGTATCCAGGATGGAGAACTGGGTAGAGAGATGAGAACCCTGGATTAGCATCCCTCTCGGGGCTCAGGTCATCCTGTGTGTTGAGAAGCAGTTTCAGTGAGGCAGATGTAGTAAAGTGATGGAGAAGAGAGGCAGCTATGAGGTTTCCACCAGCGAAGCAGGGTAAAGAGTAAGGCTGCCAGGATGCATGAGGAAGCAGAAGCTGATGCTCCTCATACCCCCCCAAATCTGTAGTCTCCTTCCTGTCTCTACAAAAGGATAGCATGAAGTTCAGAGTAGAGAACAGAAGTGACCTGCAGGGATCCCACACTCCTGAGGAAGGGGACACAGCCCCTTCTTGTATGTTTCCAGTGATGGGAAGATCATTTGCAATGACAAATGACTTTGGATGTGTACAAGGAAGAACTTTGGGTTGGGAAATTAAACATCACCTGTTAAACTCAGTGTCACCTCTAGACTGCGGAGGGAAATGCACTTATCTACAGATTGTTCAAATACCAAAGTAGATGGAGCCTCATTGTGTGCTAAGATTCCTAAGAAAAGCCTCAGTAAGAGATGTGTGCTCTCCCCAAGTTTTGGAAGCCTGAGTTGGGTTTAATATAATCTCCATCATCTCGCACTCAGAGGATGAAGCAGGGAAACCCAGCCACACAGTGAGTTCCAGGCCGGGGTACAGAGTGAGGCCCTCTCTCAAAACACAAAATATGGAAGACTGGGTCTTTTATCCACTACTCTGTCCTACAATGGACAATATACATCACGTATGACCCAATCATTTCTAATAAATACTGCGGTGGTATTTTGTGTTTTAGCAAATAAAGCTTGCCTGAAGATCAGACTCTGGAGCTAGCCATTAGTTAACCATAGAAGCCAGGTAGTGGTGGCACACACCTTTAATCCAAGCACTCTGGAGACAGAGACAGATGGATCTTTGTGAATTCAAGGCCACACTGGGCTACACAAGATTGATGTAGTCTGAAAGAGAAAACGAGCCTGGCGGTGGTCGCTCACATCTTTAATCCCAGGATTTGGGAGTCACAGGCCTTTTATCCCAGCATTGAGAAGGTGGAGACAGGAAGGGGTATGCCTGGGCAGAGAGAGGAAGATAAGACAGGAGGAGACAGGAGCTCAGGGCATTCAGTCTGCGGATTCATAGAGACAGGATCGCCCTTTGGGTCTGAGGTTGGAGTAAGAACTAGTGGCTGGAAGGAAAAGAAAGAAAAAAGAATTCAAGCTACAAAATACTTCTCAGTAAAGTTGAACTCACGGTGGGGAGCCCTTGGGGGAGGGTAGTAGCCATAGGACCATAACATTTTTTGCCATTTTAAAAACATACTTTTATATATTTGAAACATGTGCACATAGCACGTATTTAAAAACACACACACATACACAAAACAAGTAGACAAACAGTTTCCAGACTTGTTCTTTACTCAGGATGACATAGGAAAGGACCTTAAGAGAAAGTAATACTCCAGACGTTGTTTGCCTGAAATAGCTCCGATGGAGAAGGGCCCAGAGCGACTGTTCAGAGGCGTCTTGTGAAATTGAAATTGGAAAACTGTAAATTAGTAATCAGTAAAAGCGACTTAATTGATTGCCCTGGGCTGGTCGCTACAGGGCTCTCCCGTAAGAGGGGAACTGCGTGCGCACTTGGTTGTTGGCCTCCTCAAACGCTGCAGAAGCAATCGCTCCAGCTGGAAGCAAGGAATGCTCACTAGGGAAAAGGGAAATTGGTTTCAGGGGAACGTAGGAGAAGTCTCTGTTTGCAACAAATTAAGGAAGTGTTTGCCAGATCAAATAGCTAGACAGATGCCCAGCTATGGTAAGGATATGTTTTTCACTAAAATTTAGGGTAATTTCTTGACTGTGGTCATAACGGAGCACAGGTTGCTATAGGCTGATGGCAGGTGTAGCTCACTCTTATACCCGCCCCCCCCCAAAGGTATCATATTTTACTATCAATATCTTCTCCAGGGAAAATCATTGACTATTTTCCCATCTCTTTGGTAAAGTAACCCCAACTTATAATGTATGCATAAGTCTACATTATAATACTCGGGAAACATTTTTTTTTATCATCAGCACATTATATCCTATTAAGTCGGGTGTTCTGTGCTGCCATGTTTGTTCCAGAAGTGGAAGAAAACGTCAGTTTTAGCAAAATAATCAAATGCATATTGCAGGACATTTATCTCCATAACCCCAACATAAAGTGGAACGATATTATTGGACTGGACACGGCCAAGCAGTTAGTCAAAGAAGCCGTTGTGTACCCAATAAGGGTAAGTATGGGAAGCCATGTTTCTGATTGCTATCAACTAGACAAGCTGTGTCAAGAAAAGACGGTGTGGTGACTTTTCTGTCTGTAAGGTGGCCTTTTGACTGGGCCACCCTTGGTCAGAGCTAGAGCATCGCGCACAGTCTGTGCTATACCAGTTTAAGTCTGTTCCTGTTGCAGCTCTTGCAGAGGGAGGTTCCCAGCACCCACATCAAGTGGCTCACAGCTGCCACTACAGCCCCCCATGAGTTATAATACCATGACTCTAGTTCCAGGGCATCCACTGCCTTCTTCTGGTCCTCAGGCACTTGTATGTTACTTGTGCATACTACCACAAAATAAAAATAAATCTTTCTACAAAGTCATATTCTATATTGGTTCAAAGTGTCTGCGCAGTGGTAACTGAAGACCTAAGACATTGTGGAATATAGCTTTTCAGATGCTAAACACTGACCATTAGCCTGCCTCCCTAAGAGTGCGCTCCCTGTCGTAGACATATCTCCCAGGAGAGGCCTCTCATTTGTTCCTATGGATCTGCCTCAGATCTAAGCCCCCCCCCCCCCCCCCAGTCCCCTGCAGTTGCCATCAGGGGCTTTGCTCGGCTAGACAGACAGTCCCTTCCAGGGCTGTGACCAGCAGGGCCAGCATGCTGTTCTCATCACCTGCCTTTGACCGTTTTCTACACACCTCACGAAACAAACTGACAGAAGAAACAGCACACTTCAAGAGGGGTGAGGAGACGGTCAGAGTATCGCAGAGTGTTTACTATCTGACAGGCTACCCTGCCACTCGGGGCCTTAAACAACAATCTTTGGGACAGAAATTCGCTTGTCATTCTGTGGGTGGGCAGTTTAAGCTGAACCCAGCCAGGCTGCCTCATCTGTCTTCACACAGTATCATTTGCCTGGCGTTCCCACATACCAGCCAGGGTGACTGGGAGAATTGGGGGAACAGTTGGGATAATGGGCAGTCAAGTCTTTTCAGATGGCCAAATCCTGCAACAAGCAAGTTCATCCTTGTTCACGGGTTCTTAGAGAGAGGGAAGAAAGATCATGTCCTAACGTGTGAGCTTTTTCATAGCCCCCCTTCCATTTGTTCATCTTATAATTCTTTAGCATCCCACTGGGCAAGGTCAGAGGGCCAGGAACCAGATACAGGTGGTGGAGAACTCCACTTTCTTCTGTGAGAGGCTACTATACAGAATTTGTATAATTTGTGGACTATAATTTCCTAAGGGCAAGATTACAATTCATTAAAATAACAACAGCAACTGTGTATTACTACCTCTGACTCCATGAAGCTCTTGATTTTGCCGTGCTTTCATTCCAAGGAAACAAAAAACATTAAATTCAGATTATCTTTCCCTCCCTCCTCCCCCTGCTTGGGTGGGAGTAAGAAATATATTTATTCAGAGCTAAGAGTGAAACCATAGCACAAAACTTTTGGGAAGGATAGAGCACTTTATTGGCACCCTGGATATGCTGTTTTCTCATTATTCTGGGGAACAAACCTACAGTGTTTAATGTGGTCGGCAAGAGAATCTACCACGGAGCTACAGCCCTCCCCTGTTTCTGGATGTGCTATTTCTGTCCATGGCATTATACCCTTCACAGGCGATGGGAGTGTGTTTGCCATTTCCCCTGTCCTCCACCAGTCCTGTACAGTTCCTACAAGGTTTGAACTTGAGCTAATGGAAGAGACCCAACTGAAATCTGGTAGCATCCTCTGAGCCTCCGTGTCCCCAGCCTCTGCCACAGGCTACCCCATAGAGCTTCCCATGGGCACATACCTTTATGGGTTGTTTCTAGGACTTATCTTGGATCTGTGTCTTCTTTATGATTTTTAAAAAGGAGATGAAGGCTCCACATGGAGAACATAGAGGGAAGGAAATTACATGCATAGAAATAACTATTGTCACTGGGCGGTGGTGGCACATGCTTTTAATCATAGCTCTCGGGAGGCAGAGGCAAGTGGGTCTCTGTGAGTTCAAGGTCAGCCTGGTCTACTGAGTGAATTTCAGGACAGCCAGGGCTACACAGAGAAACCCTGTCTTGAAAGAAAGAGAGAGAGAGAGAGAGAGAGAGAGAGAAAAGAAATAACTATTGCCACAGAGAAGAAATACTGCATATACCTTTCTTTTCCTTATGTATGTATATATATATATGTGTGTATGTGTGTGTATATATATGTATGTGTATATATATACATATATATATTGTATGTATATATATATATATATATATATATATATATATATTGCTTTTAAGAAGCCACAAAAATTAAGTCAGACATTTTTACCCAGTGTGAAAATGCCCCCGGGACAAACAAGATCCACACAGAGGAGCAGACCTTAAAAAAGTGGGGCTAAGCCTTAGAGGGGCTGTTTTGCAGGAACTCCTGCCCTGCCTGCTAAGAATGTGCAGGTTGATGTATTCATGCTCACCTTGTCTTTTTTCTCCAAGTACCCACAGCTGTTTACAGGCATCCTGTCCCCTTGGAAAGGTCTGCTGCTTTACGGCCCTCCAGGTAAGCACATCTTTTGGGAGCGGAGGGTGTCTGCGGGAGCCTGGCTGCTGCCTGGCCGTGAGGCAAGGAGCAGTAGCACCTGCTCATGGTCATCCTCGTGTGTCCCTAGGTACAGGAAAGACACTGCTGGCCAAAGCCGTGGCCACCGAGTGCAAAACGACTTTCTTTAACATTTCTGCCTCCACCATTGTCAGCAAGTGGAGAGGAGATTCAGAAAAACTTGTCCGGGTAGGAATTCTTAAGATGCTTAAAAATCAGTTTTCTAGAATACCAAAGTACAAAATTATGCTAGAGTGTGTTGGTTTTAAGGATATATATATATATATGTATATATATATATGTATATATATATACATATATATATATATATATATATGCTAGAGCGTGTTGGTTTTAAGGTGGTATGTATGTTAGCCTTGGCTTGGATTGTGACTCCCCAAAGCCCAGGAAGTGGATTGACTGTCACATGTGGGTATTAATCATAGTGCCACCAGCAAAACATGGACTCCCTTCTTCTGGAATTTTACCAACAGCTATTTTTTGATTCACACAATTTAGGACTAAAAACGAGAATAAAAGTCTCTAAAGTGGCCTACTGTTTCCTCCACTCAAGAACCATTCATTATTAAGCATGTACAGTTTATCCAGTTAACATTTAGTGTGAGGCCACTGCCGTGTGCCAGACCCTACACTAAGCACTCTGTGGAGGAATTGAAAGACGTAAACCTTAATTATTCTTTCAGATGTTCTGAGCAACTTTTCTTCCTCTGCTCATGGCCTGTACAGTGTGTTCTCTCCTTGGAAGGCTGTTTCCATCTTTACACTATCTCGTTCCTGGTCCATGGCATCTCTTACACTCTAACATTTTGCTGTATCTTCCTGTCACCCTAAGAGAACAGCTGCTGTGATGTACACCTCTCCGTAAAGGGGGTTCCTTGCCAGGAATCCTGTTAGACTGTTTGCCTCCTGTAGAAGGACTGATAAGTAATCAATACTAAGTAAATGTAAAATTACTTTCTGAAAAGAAATCATCCTAAAATATTACTCTGGAATTATGGTCCCTCATAAAGCTAATTTCCAAATGATCATAGACTGCTTAGAAGACATAATGGGATATTTTAGAAGGGTTGGTGAAAAAATAAGACCATACCTATTATTTATTACTTTGACCATTCATTCATTCATTCATTCATTTCTAAGGATTAAATGCAGGCATTTGCATGTCAGGCAATTACTATAATACCAAATTAGGCCTTAGCCCCTTGTTATCGTTTTCAAGTTGTTTCAAATGTTTAAGTTTTTTATGGATTTTTATCACTCACTCAGCATTGTATTTCTTTTCTGTTGCTCTGTTTATTTTAGTGGTACTGTTTTGAGACAAGGCCTTTTTCTAGATGTAGCTCAGACTGGCCTTGAACTCATGATCTGTCTTTTGGGATCACCTTATTGTCCTAGGTGCTGGAATTATAGATCGTGTACCACAGTGCCTGGATCAAGATGAAATCTATGAAAATATTTATCTACACTTTCTCCTTTGATCTTTATCCTGGGGCTGTCTCAAACCAGATCCCCAGGTACTCCTGTTTATCTGCTGTGTATGGATCCCTAGGGTTCTGGTCAGTTCTGTTTCAAAAGGCCGAGGTTCAATTAACTACAGTCATTATCAGCCTAAAGCTCTTTGGGATGTGTGTGTGTGTGTGTGTGTGTGTGTTTAACTTCTGTGTGTTGAGTAACAGTAAAACAACTCACAAAAGACGCCCTCCCCTGAAGAGTAGAGATTTGTGTCCCATCACAAAAAGTGTTTGGAACCATGAGCACAAGACACTGCAAAGCGTTTCAAGAAAGTTCCCAGACTCCCTGGATAAACCCTAAGTGGACAGACATGTACATTTAGACACTTCATGATTGTCCTAACAGAGATGGAGAGAAAATGGTTTCTTGTTTAGTGTTGAATGTCCAGAAATGCCAATCACAGGAATGTTCCTTCTTTGTGAGTATTTTTTTAGCTCAGTTTTTTTTGTTTTCTGCTTTAGTATCATTCCAGGAGTGAGGCAATCCTTCCTGTCCCATGTCTCCATCTCCTTCACCACATAGTTAAAAGAATCTAGCTTTATGGAAAATGCATGAATGCGTACATTTCCTTGATTTGGGATCTATGAACTCATATTCTCAAGGTCACACGGCAGGCCCTTACTGAATGAGCCACCCCCCCAGGCCCCTAATTTGAGCATTTTACAAGTTACTTTAGAAGATACTTATATTTCTTTTTTCTTATGAAAAATGCATTTTCACTTAAATATTTGAAAAATATTCAAGAAGAAACTTGAAATCTCTGCCAACCTTGAAGGGTCTTATTTCCTTGTAGAAGTAATTTTTCCTGTTCTGTGAGATTTTGGGAAGATCCTCACCTGGGGAGGTTTAGTCATTCTGTCCACCCCTTCCTGTAAAGGTTTTTAGGGAAAGCAAACCCTTTAGGACCTTCCCCTCAACCAGAAAAGCATTTTCTCCCATTTGTTTCTCTGTCTATTCCAATTAAGGAGTTATTTATAGGGAACCTTTGGGCTGTGAACCCCCCTCCTCTCCTAATGCTCCTGCCTCTTAGGAGTTGAGCACTATTGAATAGCTGAGTGATCTCTTTAGCAAATGCATACACCTGTTGATGGTTACATCTCCTCCCCCTCACATGATTTAACTTCCTCCAAGCGCCTCTGGATATTTTAGACGAATGCTTCTAGAAGCACTTACCAGGATTCTATTTATTCTCTGGGAATGGAAACTCAGTATTTTGAGCAATATGGAGACCTAAGCCCTAAACGCAGTTAGTTCTTCTAACTTTATGTTGAAGAGGCCCTTGGTTTCCTACACCTGAGTAAGCTCCTTAAAACTGTGTATAGTGATCTAGGGGTCTAATATCCTCTTTTTCATTGAGTCAATTGGTGTTTTGTAATCGCTTTTAAAATCAGGTATAATTGGGCTTCTCTTCCTGTGACAGGAAGAAAAGTTACTTGTTCCTAATTGGCTGGTCTCCAGTGTATGGGAGAGGTGTTAGTGATACGTTTCCCAGAATTGTCCTTTGTTTCATGACTTTTGCTGTGTGTGTGTGTGTGTGTGTGTGTGTGTGTGTGTGTGTGTGTGAACCAGTGTGTACTCACCCAGCTGAATACCGAATAAACAGTTCTGCCCAAGTGTCCACCAGTGAGCTTTGGAACATAGATGACTGACATAGAAGTAAAGACATCTGCATCACCAAAAAACCCACCTATCTCAGGTGATGAATCATGGAGGATGCATACCTGGTGCTCCCTAGACAGTTTGCAGGGAGTTCCACCAATCACAGAATCTCCCCTCTGTACCAGCTGTTCATGCTTCTACAACCATGGGGATCAGTCTTGTAAGTCTTGTATTTCAAGAGTTCCCAGAGCCTTGTAAACTTTTACTACCCTAGCCTGTAAATTCCCTTTATTCCCTGAGCCTTTTCAATTTTTGTTATTCCTTGAGTCTTGTAAGTTCCCTTTAAGACTCTCTGAGCCTTGTAAGTTCCCTTTACTTTCTGAGCCTTGTAAGTTCCCTTTATTTCCTGAGTCTTATAAGTTCCCTTTCCTTCCTGAGCCTGTAAATTCCCTTTTACATTCCCTTTATTTCTTGAGTCTCCTTAGCTTCCGTCCTTTGTCTAGGAGGGGATATTTCCATTAAAGGAAACATCTACACACAGTCCTTCTCTTAGTTTTGAGAAGGAGCAGGGGTTATGAACCAGGATTCTGTGACAGGGAAATGCTGACTCATCACCCTGGACTCACTGAGTCATGGGATGTGAGAGATTTCCTCAGAGAGATATCCTGCCGCTCCTGAAAGCCACACGGGAGCATTTCCCTCTTGTTTATCCTGCGATGCTTTCCTTATGCTCAGTGACATGGAGAATAAATCCCCATGGCAGCTGAAGAATCTCTGCTTTTCTGTTCATTGCTGCTGCATTCTCCAGTCAGCCAGTGAAGAATTGATCATGGTGCTCGAGAGATCGCTGCAGGATTTAAAAAAAAATAAAAGATTTAGCTCTTTATACTGCTCACCGCCACTATATCTCCCTATCGAGTTCTTTATTTTGTTTTTATGTCTGTTCTTTTGCTGGCTGCTTTCTTGTTCTTGTTCAGTCTGTCATATTTTACTCTGGAACAGAACATCTTATTCCGTCAAGAACTGCCTTTGGGAATCTGCTCCTCCTTATATTTGAGAGGCAGGGCAGGAGGATCCCCTGAGTTCACCAGCCAGTCTGAGCTATACTGTGAGTTCCAGTCTAGCTGAAGCTGTTTCAAGACAAAACCCAGCAACAATAGCAAATGAAAGGGAAAAGATGTACAAAGAACCTGATCCTAGCAAGCAGTGTTGAGGTAGAGCGGGGCCCTGTGGAATCACGTGGGGAGCAGAAAAGGACATTTTCAGTTTGTTGTCCATGAGTGTCCTTTTCCTGACTTTCTTCCTTCTGAGAATAATCCTATTTTTCCTAAAGATGAAGGGGGGAAAGTTACTACATGATTTTATGTATTTTATGTTTATGTCCACATGGAGAATGTTATTGGCAGGTGTCCCGAGGGTTAACAAGGCAATTAGGAGCTTGGGAACTGAATTTTATCTCCAGCTCTCATACTTATCATTCGGAACCTTGAACTCGCTGCCCACTCTCTATCAACTGATAAATGGAAAGAATTAGACCATCCATCCCCCTCAGGTGGAACTCGGGAGAAATAACGGCGATGGTTATAAAGTTGCCCCAGAGTACTGGTATAGAGCAAATGCTTATTATTAAAGCAATTCTAAACTTTTAATCTGGGAACATTTGAGGGCTAAAGTTGACATGTATGACGAAGACTAACTTAAGAATACATATTTGACCCCGCTCTTGCTTTTCCCCACTCAGGTGCTGTTTGAACTTGCCCGCTATCATGCCCCCTCCACGATCTTCCTGGACGAGCTGGAGTCTGTGATAAGTCAGAGAGGCATGACTCCTGGGTAACAGACGGTTTGGGTTTGGGTTTTTGGCCATCATTTCTCCCCTTCGTAAGTGTGTGTGATGGTCGGAAGCCCATCGATGTTTACCAGCAGAATGAGCCTATTAATAAGCCCACAAATTTTCTGCAGACACATGGAAAGGTCTTTAAATTAGATCCTGTTAACTGAGTAGCTGATTTAAATAGTTCTTATAACCGGAGGAAACACCATCCCCCCTTCCCCACAGAGTGGCTTTCAGGCCTGAAGATCATCCAGCCGCAGGATCCCAGGCTGCCACGTTGGCCTGGCTGCCTCAAAATAACCTCCTCTGGAGCCGGAGGGCTGCCTGTGGGGACTGGGGCTGGAGGGCTGCCTGTGGGGACCGGGGCTGGCCCTTGCAACCACAGGATCAGCCGCTTCTGCCTTACATTCTCTGGAGGCAGAGGAACCGGTGATTCTTGGACATCTGTCACATGCATTATTTCTAAAGATTAAGCGTCCGAAAATGTCCCCAGAAGGAAGGAGCGCCTCTCAGTTACAAATGCTTTCTGGTTATGCATTCAAAAGGGCAAATAGGGCTGCTTGTTTGCCTGCTTGATTTTGTGCGTGTGTGTGACTTATGTTGTGTGTGTGTGTGTGCACATGTTTGTGCTGGTGCTTGTAATGTGTGTGTGTGTGTGCGCGTGTGTGCGTGCATGTAGGTCAGAAGTCTCTTTCTGCATTGTTTTTGTTTGTGTTTTTGAGAGAGAATGTGCCCCTGTGTCTGGCCTTTCATGTGGATGCTGGGAATCAAAGCTTAGGTCCTCAGGGCTGACATTTACCAACTTACCTATCACCTCAGTCCCCATTGTTAAGTTTTAAAAATTTATTTTAAAATATTTCATTAATTGAGAATTTTATACAGTTTATTTTGCACACATTTGTTCTCAGTTACTCCCTTTAATTTCCCCAGATCTTCACCACCTTTTTTTCCCCTTTTTTCCTGAGACAGGGTTTCTCTGTGTAGCCCTAGATGTCCTGGAACTTGATTTGTAGACCAGATTGGCCTCAAGGTCAGAGATCCACCTGCCTCTGCCTCCCGAGTGCTGGGATTAAAGGTGTGCGCCACCAGTGCCTGGCTTGTCTCTTTATTTTTTGAAAATTATTTAAAAATTCATTGACTCTGACTTGTGCTGACTATATACTTCTGGGTGTAGGGCCATCCGTTGGAGCATGGTCCACTTACCAGGAGCCACGCCCTTAAAGAAAACTGACTTTCCCTCCCCTAGGAGCCATGGACGGTCCATAGATCCTCAGTTAGGAGTGCAGGCTCCATGCTAGAACACTGATGGGCTGGCCCTTGTGCAGGTCTGGTGAAGCATTCAGAGCTACTGAGGTCTTGAGTGTAGTGGTCCTGTCATGCCCAGGAGATGCTGTCGATTCCGGTTCTCCCTGACCCCTTTCTACACCAGCTTCTGAAATGGTCCCTGAGCTTCAGGAGAGGAAGGCTGTGACAGATCTGTCCCATTAGTGGCCGAGCACGCTACAGCCACCTACTCTCTTCACTTTGACCCGTCTGAGTTTCTGCATTAACCACTGTCTATCGCCCAAAGAAACTTCTCTGAAAGAATATGAGAGCTCCACTAACCTATGGGCAGAGAGTTAGGAATTTAGAGTGCAGTTTTATACTATGCCCAGTTAGCGAAATCATAGTAGTAGGTTGACCCCTGGGGTCTATAAACTCCCCAACCTTGGGTTATTGGCTGGATTTGTAGTACCAGGCATGCACTTTCTCCAGTGAATCAGAAAGCAGTTGGTTAGCTCCATAACATTTGTGTGACTATTGCCATATCCATTATTACTGCAGTTTACAGGGGTCATAGCTGGATAAGACTGTTGACTCCCAAGCCAGACATAGTGATGCACGCCTTCAATCCCAGCACTCAGGAGGCGGAGGCAGGCGGATCTCTGTGAGTTAGAGGCCAGCCTGGTCAATATAATGAACTCCACATCAGCCAGAGATACAAAGACCCTGTCTTGGAAAAACAATAACAACAAAAGACTGTTGACTCTCCTCCCCTAGCATCCTGCATAGCACCCTCTGGTGAGTTACCCAGTAGGGAGGAAGCTTCCTGGTCAATACTAACATGATTTCTCAATATCCTATGACCAATGTGTGTGCTGTCTTCAGCAACAGGGTCTTGCAATCAAGTTCTGATGGGCCCTCAAGAGCAGTATCGGTAGCCCTTGTTTTGGGTTCTCTAGGACACACCTGACCAATGATAGAGGAGAGGAAAGTCCGGGGCTTTTTATTTGACAACCTACAGATGGGTTCTGAGATGAGTTTAATTCCCTGTGAGGGGCAACTCCAATTAAACTCTTGTATGAATTTGTGTGTGTGTGTGTGTCTGTTTGTACACATATGTATGTACACACATACATGTGTATACACATATATGTTGTGTATATTTTGATCACATTCTGACAATAAAGTTTTATTTGAGTCAGAGAGTGGAGCTAGCCATTAACTGACCATATTAACCATTGAGGACTGATAGGAGACAGGAAGTAGTAAGGCAGGGCTTAGGATCCCAGCCCTTTTGGATGGAGGAGCAGAAGAGATAGGAGATCTCAGGTGGCTTCTCCTCTGCTTCTTTGTTTATTCAGGCTCTTACTGATATCAGATATCTTACTGATATCCGACTCCCAATTTTTATTGATAAAGAATAATTAATTAGATGCATCACACATATATATGAAGCATAAAATAGCTTTCCCAAACATCCTTAGAGATCCCATGTATCGTAGACTGGCATTGAACTCACTGTATAGTTTAGGATGATCCTGAACTGTGATTCTCCTGCATCCGCCCCCCAAGTGTGGTAGCACATGTGTGGGTGCCCATGCTAGGGATTGAACCCACGGCTTTGTGGTTGCTAGAAAAGCACTCTATCAACCTGATTGGTTTGTTATAATCAGAGATACTTTTTGAAACTTTTATTAAATTTGACACCTCAATCTGGAAATATAAAAAACAGGTGTCTGGAAAATTTCTGTGTAGCTCTATTTACTAGTGACCTTTAATAGTCTGTTATCGAGACAAAGCCCAGGCTAATAAAAGGCAAAGATTTGCTTGTTGGAAATATAAAAGTAGAATTAGAAAATAATTTGTGAAATTTTACCCAGTGGAAACCACTTTCCCAGCAGGAAAACAGAGGAACAAGGCTGCAGGCAGGATGGGTGGGCTTTACGTCTGACTGACATGGGACATGGACCTGACCTTATTGTGCCTTGTCAGACCCCACTGCAGCCCTCTGCCTTGCTGCATCAGCCTGACAGGAGCAGCCAGCTGCACCCCAGCCACAGGCCCCTGCGTGCTCTCACTGGTCTCCCCCTGCAAAGACAGGCCTCTCTGGCCTGCCTCAGGGGTGGCCTAGATTTGGCTAATTTGGTTCTTCCTACCATCCCTGGTGGCAAGTGCTTCACCCAGGTTCTCCTTGAGTTTTGGGGTCCCTGTATGGGACTTGAAGATCCTAGTTTAAAACACAAAGACAACGAAGCTGAGCATGATAGCGCACACCTTAACCCAGTGCTCAACGAAAGAAGCTGAGCATGGTAGCGCACACCTTGATCCAGCACTCAAGGAGCAGAGGCAGAGGCAGGCAGATCTTTGTGGATTGGAGGTCAGCCTGGTAGTGGGTTCCAGGCTAGCCAAGGCTATATAGTGAGACCCTATCTGAAAAAACAAAAACAGGCAAAAAAAAAAAAAATAGGGCAACTGTTTTGATGTCTTCTTGGGCCATATCATGCTAGTTGTGCATAAGTATGGACAATTACATTAAGATTAGCACATGCGCACATATCATGCGTAATTGTGGGCAAAGGCTATGTGAACATGTCATTGTAGAGTGGGAGTCTTTTCTCTCAGAAAACGTCTGGGCCTTGAGAGATACAGATTCTAAGTCACACGCAGATGGAGCACCCCAATGTGAAAATCCAGCACTTGAACAGACCTGTTCTGAATCTTTGTTAGAGCTGGCAGACAATTAAAGTGGGAAATTCCACCCAGGAAAGTTTGTTTAATATGTGAAAGTATAAAATATCATATAAATTACCTTCAGGCTGTGTGAGAAGGTACAGATGAAATAAGTAACTTCATGAAATATGTATGAAACTTCATGCTTAAAGTTGGGTTTTCCCCTAGTATGACTCTTTATGTATGTGCAAACATTCCAAAATTCAGAAAAATCGGAGTCATCTGGGATAAAGAATACTCAGTCTATACTCGGGATGGGTTGCTTCCACACATGTGCACGAGAGGTGGAGTGTTGTGCACACTAAGGAAGACATTTAGTCATTGTTCTTTTAATTAAATGAGTGTGAATGAACAGAATCTGCCGAGCATGCTCTGGGTGTGAACCTAATGCGGGTTGTTCGGATCTCGGTGCCTTGCTCCTTCAGGTGGAAGGGACCCGGGCAATGGTCATGGAGGCAGAGAGGGCAAATTTGCACAGAGACCAGACGCTAATCTCTGTCATTATTATACATTTCATTAGGAGAGGATGAAGCCAACTCAGTGCAGGGATTTTATAAACACAAATGCACACATACGCAGGCATAAGAAGCATGGACATTATGTGAAGCCTGCTCTATAAATGGGTTATTCTACTGTGCCATTTCAACTCAAGTCATTAAACTTGATTTTTATAAGCCCAAGCTGGCTGAAGCTGTGGAACCTGGGCTAGCTGCAAACTCACGGCAGTTTTCCTGCCTCAGCCTCACCAGTTTCAGGCCATGCCACACCTGGCAATTATGGCATTTTAAAGGGTTAAATAACGAAGCAGGTAGACATGTTTAATTTCACCATCCTTCTATCATTTTCTTTTAGTTCTATGTCAACCTTCACTTTTCTCCTAAATATCATCACCGTATGTATTATTTACCTTTTTATTATGTGAAAATAAAGCACCTGAAATGCCCATTTATTTGCTATCAGAATGGAGCCTGTTTTTCGGCCACAGGGCAATGCTGTGAGTGCCACTCACATCAGGAGGGCAAAGGCTCTGCCAGTGAGGGCCTCCTATCTCCTTATCTCTGCAGGGGAGAACACGAAGGGAGCCTCAGAATGAAGACGGAGCTCCTGGTGCAGATGGACGGGTTGGCCCGCTCGGAGGATCTCGTGTTTGTCTTAGCAGCGTCTAACCTGCCGTGGTAAGGCATCAAGAGAACACGTCACACACGTCGCACGCATTTTCATGATCTACTGAATACTGATAAAAATTTCAGTGAGAGCTGTAGGAGGAGGCATTGAAGTCACACACAAACTGAATCCCTAGTGGATGTGGGTGACAAGGAGTCAATCTCCGTGACTATAAAGACCAGTGTGAAAGTGGGCAGCGCCGGTCCCAGGGTCTGGGCCCTGAGCTGTACAGGAGTAGAGTCATCAAGAGGCGTGCATGCATTCATCTCCCTCTGCTCCCGGCCATGGCTCCTGCCTCCTGCCTGCCCTGCAGTGATAGACAGTAGCCTGGAGTTGTGAGCTAGACAAGCCCTTTCTCCCTGAAGTAGCCTTTGTCAGTTTTTTATATCATTACTAAAGTAGCAGAAATTAGGATATAGGAGGGACTATAGGTTTTTTTGAATCAGGCAGAGGTTTTGCATAGCCCTATAAATGCTTAATATCGTTAGTTCTCAAAGAACATTTCAGAAATAATGGTTTGATTTTTATTGGTATTAAAATTAAAGTTTTTTAAGTTAGGAGGAAAATTCTATCTCTAATGCCATATAGTAAATAGAAAACTAAATAATCTCTAATTGAAAATATAATCTACTCTCAGAGTTTCCCATTCAAACTGTATCCCAGAGTGGTTTAAGAACAATTCTAGAAGAATTGGGAAATAAGAGATGTTGATTAGGGGAAAACAATATCTACTCAGAGAATATATTTTAAAAATGTTATAATGCTCTTACAGTTCTCAGAACATTTTCATATTATTATTTTTTATGTCCTAGACAGGGAAGGAGATGCATAAGAAAATATTCTTAGAGGGTGACCAAGGTCATGAAAGGCAAATCAGCCTGTGGGCAACAGCAGTGAACAGGGCTCTCTCACCTCACCCCATACAGCAGCGAGCAGAGGGGGTGTCCTCTCACCTCACCCATCTCCTTTTTCATATTTAGGGACAAACAGAAAGCTCCTTCAATCATGCTAATCCTCTGGGTCCCAAACAAGAAGGGACGGAGACCAATTTTAGGCAATGTGTGTGTAAGCTGTTCCTTTAGATACGTTCATAGTCTGAACCCGGCCCACCTCCCTGCACATCTGTAATACGTGTTCTCTTGTGCTCAGATGACTAGCATTTAACATCTGAAGATCTGTTTATGCACAACGCTAAAAGTGGAGTCCAATAGAGAATTGAGATCTCAGTATTTGAATCTTTGGAAGTCATTGATTGGTGCGAAGCTTCCACATGGGGTTGCAATGGCTAAAGTCACGATGGGGTCACCCAGGTTAAAATTCCTTTCAGCCAAACTGGGACAGTTGTTACTTAACCTTCTAAGAAATCAAGAGAGATAACAGGACAGATTCCTAAACAGGCCAGTTTCACATAAATGCTTCAAGGCTCTGGGTTGTACCCTTTGCCTTGCCACAGCCAGACACAGCAACCCAGTAACTGGGCCTTGGCCAGGCAGTTATTATTATTTTTTCTGTTGTTTTGTGTCCTTACCCCCTACTTTCCAAGGATTGCTACTTTCAAATGGATCCAAACTGCTTTTGCTTTTGTGCCTTTGTTCTGTGGCCTGGTGGCTCTGGGTGTTTTCTATGGAGGGTGTGAGGTTGTATGGCTCCTAATACAAGTGTGCCAGGTCTGTACCTCGAGAGACTTACACACACATTCTCCAGAAATATGGAGAGCTCTCCCCTTCACGTGAATTCAGTAGCTCCTGCAGTGTTCTGTGCGATTGATTGGCTGGGGTCAGCTGTTGTCCTCGTAGTGTCTTCCTGCTCTAAGTACTCTAGGCTAAAAATGGGGCTGATTCAGTTCAACAATTTTCTTCAGATGTTACCTCGGTATCGGCAGCATCACTCTGCATCGCATCCCGAGGTGAGCAGCGTCTTGTTTTCTCGCTTTTGGCGATGCTATGATTGATCTGTGGGTTCAGGTGTATTGGTCTGGTTCCTCTGTGGAACATCTCTCTGGGTTTAGCATCCCCCATCAGGGTTGCCTTGGTGGTTAGGAGTACTTGCTGCTCTTACAGAGGACCCAGGTTCTATTCCCAGCCCCCATGTGGTGGCTCACAACCATCTGTGATCCTGGGGGATCCAGCGTCCTCTTCTGACTTTCTCCCATACCAGACACACGTGGTTCATAAACATACATGTAGCCAAAACAGTCATACACATAAAAATATGTTAAAATGGTATTAATGAACCTTCAAAGCTATTCTTTGTATTTTGATTAAAACTCTCTGACCTATAACTTTAAACTGAGCATGCTCAGAAATGTGGACCTTAGCGAGTATACTCAGAAATGTGCCTTCCCCTAAGTGTGCTTTCCTCCTTGCATGTGTGGGTGGCCTGGATAAAACTTTCATGTTCTGCTCAGGAAGAACAACACTTTGGAGAAACCCTGGTGCATTCTTGCTCTTCCTCCCTTGCAATACGAGCTCTGTCTTCTGTTGGCTTTGTACTCCCACGACATGACCCATTGCTGGAGGTGATGGTTTTATCATTGCTTCTGGTCGACAGCCAGAATCACTCTCTGTAAGGGAGCTGTCCCTCACCCCATGGGGCTGCTTGGTTACCCCAAAATGTCGACAAACAGGTGTCACCACTAGCAGTGAGCAAGCCCCCTTCCCCACTTCTCCAAACTGAGAACTACACCAGGGCGTTTTGTGAGTGATTGCCTTTCTGGCTTTTGTTTTGGTATGATCTTATTTTACAGCCCAGGCTGACCTTGATTTCCAGGTCTTCCTGCCTCTGCCTCCTGGCTGCTGTGATTGCAGGAATGCTGTGTTGCCTCTGGTGAGTTCTGTGAGTTCTGAAAAACACTTTCTTGAGCACATGCTGCACAGCTCATGGCCAGGGCTTCTAAGTGGTCATGCCATATCATTGTGCTGTTATGTTTTCATTGTATTATTATTATTATTGTCATTACTATTTGTATCATGTAGAAGAGATGAAAGCCAGGTCTTTGTATGCCTATGTTCTGAAAAAAATGCATATCTGTTATTACAGGGTGTAGCAGAGTTCTCTAGAGGAAAAGAACCAATAAAATGTATGTGTATCACAAAACAGGATTTGTCCTGGGCCCAGTTGGACACACCTATAATCCCTCCTGAAGCAGAAGCAGGGGGATCTTCATGAACTCCAGTCAGCCTGCTCTACATCCTGAGTTCCAGGACAGCCAGGGTTCCATAGTGAGACCCTGTCTCGAAAACAAACACGAAAAGAAACCAAAGGGATGTGTTTACCAGAGTGGCTTCCAACTGATAACGGCTAGACAGTCCAACCCTGTGACTACCACTCCATATTTTACAGGAGCAGTCTCACAATCTTGCATTTATCTCTTACACAAAAGACTGCACACCATAGAAATTGTTCTGTTTGAGTTTTTTTTCTTAACAAAATACCAGACTTTCCTGGAGATCTTTCCAAATAAGGCCACAAATTCTTCCTTACTCCCTTTATAGCTACATAGTCCTCCATTGTGAATCTCTGAAAGTTTATCTAATCTGTCATCAGCATGGCAGCAGGGTTGTTCCTCTCCTGCTATTGCAGACAGTAGGGCAGTAAGAAGTGGGCATGGATAGGCCACTTTTTGTTTCAACCAGTGTAGCTTTGGGATAGGTTCCTGGAAGGAAAACCACCAGGTCAAAGGGTAATGCACATGGAATTATGGTGTAGCTGCCAAATTTCCCTCCATAGAGGTTGTACCATCGTGCGGTCCCACTAGTGTCTTGGTTTCATTACTTAACATTATAGTGAGAACATTTCCAGTGTCATTAAATAATCCTTGAAAATTGGATTTCGTAATAGCTGCCCAGAATTCCCACACGTGGGCTATACCATCATTTAATCATTCCTTTCTGTCCAACATGTATGACGTTCCCAAACTTTATTCATAAGTAACAGGGAAATGAGCTTCCTTGCATAGAAGCCTTTGTGAACAGGAGGGAGCAGGGAGAGAGCTCAGTCAGGAGAGCACTCATAATCCCAGTGCACCTGGAGGTGGAGACAGGTGGATCCCTGGGGCTTACTTACCAGCCAACCAAGACTACTTAATGAGCTCCAGGTCAATGAGAGACTCCCTCAAAATGGGGCGGGGGTTGCGCCTGAAGAATGACACCCCATAATTGTCCTCTTGCCTCCACACATTACATGCACCCCCAGCACACATGAATGTACACACATAAACCAGTGCACACATGCACAAAACAGCACCTTTGGGTACAGTTCTGGTTGTTATGAAAGATATCTGGAGTGGAATTACTGGATGAAAGGGCTTTGTATTTTAACTCCTTTGTGGCATACTGCCAATCCCTTTATTAAGGAAAACTTCTAGGAAGAGGGAATATTCTTGATGAATAAGATTTTCCTTGGCTTCAGGATCTCATTTCATCCAAGCAGTCTAGCCTGGGAAAAGAACTAATTCAGAACAACCATGTGAGGACTTGGTCCTGAACATCAAATTCCTCACAGTTGGGGCGGCTTTCACCAAGAGCATCATTCTGGCATTGGCAATTCTTTATCGCTGTCTCAGCAGTGAGCTGGCTTATAGCTTTTGCTCACCTGCCTTGGCTGGTCTAGAGCATGGGAGAGGGCGAGAAGGAAGCAGCAAGAAACCGATTCTCTGTGTCGTCCGATGTGTAAGTGAGCAAAGAGAGGCATAAAAAATGTTGTACATTTAATATTACCACTTAATGTAATAGCGATGCTAAGAAACTTAGCATAATTAGGGCTAATTTGACCTGCCTTGATTGTTGCGTATTCACAGGCTCAGGCCTAGCGGTCCAGAGGGAATGAATGCTGAACAGGGCTATTAAGGCAAATTCCATCTAGAGATGTCTACTTAACTCTATGGTAGCGTGTACAAACGAGGTGGGGGGGCTGTGAGTGGTATGCGGACTCTACAGTCTCCCTTGCTGCTTGCTGGTGTTAGGAAGCTGATTCAGGTGCTAACTGTGTCAAAGTATAGCATACACAAGTGTTACAGATTTACATGTTTTCTGTTACATGTAATTTTATTAGTGGTTTATTCATTAATGGTAATTTATTAATGGTTATTTTGTAATTTTATTAATGACATAGATGCTATCTATTTATGGGAGTCATGCATTGGAACCCTAATAGAGAAAATTTGACTGGGGTTTTGAGCCACTCTGCCTTAATTTTTCTTTCTTTCTTTCTTTCTTTCTTTTCCTTTTTTTTTTTTGTTTGTTTGTTTGTTTTTCGAGAGAGGGTTTCTCTATAGCTTTGGAGCCTATCCTGAAACTAGCTCTTATAGACCAGGTTGGCCTCAAACTCACTGAGATCTGCCTGCCTCTGTCTCCTGAGTGCTGAGATCAAAGGCCTGTGCCACCACCATCCAGCTTCTGACTTAATTTTTCTTCTCAGTTTAAGATGTCTGGAACGATGACAATGAGGCCAATAGTTTTGAACTATCCATGGAGACTTTCTCTCCCCGGAGTGCAAGGCAGAGACTCATTTAGCTGATGACTTCCATTGCTAACAGGGAGGTATCCTAGCCTACACTATCATAATGGGCGTGTGTTCTTCAACCATATAGGGCATTTGCTTTATGTTGTGAGCCTTGGCTCTACCTCTGAGGAACCCAGGCTTTCTTGGTTGCCCCACATGAAGCCTTTACAACCTAATCCTTTTGCAACCAAGAAGCAAATAGCCCAAGTTCCCTATAATTTCAACTTTATCTATCCAGTCTTGACTTTGAGCCTCTTTAATTTTAGCATTTGGGAATTTTGCTTCTGCCTCCAGGAGGGTTCCACTGTGCATTCAAAAAGTACTTTTTATATCTACTTAAGACAAGATTTCTGATCTAGTTCATCTGTGGTCAGAGCCATCAGATCTTCCCCCTCAGTTCCTGGTATTGTGTTTTGAGGTGGGAGTAACCAATGGGAAACGTGAGGTGATTTTTACCCCTATGAAGTGAAACTTCTAGCTCACGCATGCGTACAGCAAAGACTGCGCTGCTGCGGCTCCCTTGCTTCATTCTCTGGCCTCTCGGATAGGAGAAGTCCGGATGTGCATCTTTCAGGTTCTTTTCAGAAGCACTGCTGTGGGAACCTGAAGGATTAGTCCTGAAACTTACAATTACCATAATCTTCCCTGAGAATGATAGTACAATCCTTGCCTGGTGATGGTGGTGCACGCCTTTAATCCTAGCACTCAGGAGGCAGAGGCTGGTGGATCTCTGTGATTTCGAGGACAGACTGGTCTACAGAGCTAGTTCCAGGACTGCTAGGACTATTACACAGAGAAACCCTGTCGCAAACAAAACAAAACAAAACAAAACAAAAAACAACAAAAAAGGAAATACAGTGCTTTGTTCCCTTTGCCCAAGCCGGTCCAACTTCTCCCTATTAACCTAAACCAATGATGGCCGTAATGTTCTAATATTCAACAAAGCACATCATTCACCCACCCACCTGAGTGGGATTTCTTGGGAACTTCTCAGTAATCTGCATGATGGAGGAATCTAAGACATACTGTCTGTGACATTTGATCTCTGGAAACTAGATGGGACAGTCTCTCACTTGTATACATATAGCCATGAGCTGGAGATGCTGCCGGGACCATGTGAGCTGTGCAGACAGAAGAGCGGTCTTGCTCTGAGTTTAGGCTGCCTTTGAACTTGCTCTGTGGATCAGGCTCTCTCCCGCTCATGCTCCGCCTCCCTCACCTCACAGGTGTTGAAATTATAGGCAGGTGTGCACCACCAAACCTGGTGTATTTAGTAACTTTTATGATAGACATTAAAGCAAATCAAAAGCCTTTACTGCATACAGAGAACTTGCTCTGAATTTGAGGCGGTGACTTCCCTTTTTTTTTTTTTTAAAGATTTATTTATTAATTATGTATACAGCATTTTCCCTACATATATGCTGCAGACCAGAAGAGGGCAGCAGATCTCATTACAGATGGTTGTGAGCCACCATGTGGTTGCTGGGAATTGAACTCAGGACCTCTGGAAGAGCAGTCAGTGCTCTTAACCTCTGAGCCATCTCTCCAGCCCGGTGACTTCCCTTTTGACAAAGTGGGAAGTTCCTATAAAGAAAATAATACGAAGATGCCAGCAGCACCCCAGTTACTGCCTTCCTCCCTTGTAGTGTACCCAGTAAACACACACACACATACGCACACACGCACATACGCACGCACGTCAGAACTAGAATGGAAAATGGATCTGTCTGGGGACATGTGTAAGCAGGTGGCCTTCCATGTGGGGCTTACTGTAGAAGACGGAGCTTGAAGCTCTCGCTGCCCGTGAGCTGTCAATGCTGGCTCCTCAGCCTGCTCTCCCAGGCCTGTCATGACTGTCTACTTCATGGTGGTTATGGATGGATGGCAAAGATTTGCCTGCTGAGTGGACGTTCACTCTTCTGTTACTGTACCCAGACAACTTGAACTTGAAATATTGTAACTGTTGAAGAAACAAACTTGTATTATGCTTGGTTCCCTCATGTTGTAAATTTCGGAATGATCTCAGTTCCAGGGCCATGCAGTATGGCAAGGACAAAGGTCAAGGCCTGAGGAGGATGCCTGAAGGTCTGATCTAATGCATTATGGCCCTTGGTAGCTCTCAGTGTGGCCAGCGGTATATAGTGTTTTGTGTTTACAGCAGGCAGGGGTCCTATGCACCTCATGCTTACTGGTTGATCTGACCACTGATGAGCTACAAGTACTGACTAAACCAGGAGGAGCGAGTCATGAGAACACAAATAACTAGTGTAAAATCTAAGTGCAAGGGCCAGGCGGAGTCTTTTCTGGTGGCCACAAGTTACATTTTTATATAAATATATTGGCATAAAGAATGATTTCTGGGTACATTCCATTTGTCCTTTGCTTCCTCCCTCATATGATTCTATGATTATTGATGTCGCTAAGAGTGCATCCATCAGGCCTGGCTGTCGGAGAGTTGCACTTATTTTGTACCCACAAGCAGTTTTGAGGTAAATCTCTCACTTTAGGGCATTAGTTGATCAATATAGACATCTATATTGAATAATTGCTTTCCCACCCCCACCATGTGATCATGTTGTCTTGATCTTCCTCTAAAGGAGCCACTCAGAATGAGCTGTGGACACGAATTAGGTACTGTCCAAACCAACACTTGCTTGATACCCTCAGATGTACCATTCTGTCAAATTCTTCTCCTTGCATATATGTCTTCTCTTCTAGAACCTTCATGCCAGGTCCTGTGCACCTCGTGTGCAGAGGGGACCCTGAGCTCTAGCCTCGCCACCCTGGTGGTTCCCTGACCTTCTGTGTCAGATCCTCTGGTAATTGGATCCTGCCCAGCTTTGCTTTGTTTTGTCATTTAGAAATTACCTAGAGTGCTTGATCAAGATATAGATTTTTTTTAATTAGAAATATTGTTTCCTCGGAATTTTAAAGGCCTTGGTCTCTTTTAACATCTCACATTGCTATGGATAAAGTTTGTTGTTGGTGTTTTTAATTAGACCTTATCTTGTTTTGCTGCCTAAACTGGCCCAGAACTTGCTGTGTAGCTCATGCTAATCTTGACCACTTGATTGTCTCCCTTCAGCTTCCCACATTCTGGAATCACAGCTGTGCACTGCCGTGTGCGGCTTGAGAAGTGTTATGTCTAATCCATTGTATGTCACTTGTCTTTTCTCTCTGGAAACTTTTGCCACTCTGTTTTGTTCTTGGTCTTCTGAATTCCTACCATGAGGCAGCTTGGGAGTCAGTGGGTAGAGAACCGCGCCAGCCTCAGTTTTCCAAGTCATACTGCCAGTCCTGAGTCATCAGTAGCTCAGGGGAGCTACTTACCCTTTGAAAGCCTTTCTTTCCTCATCTTCAAAATGCAGGCGACAATAGCACAGCCTCATGGTGTTGCAAGTGAGTTAGCATCTATAAAAATGCTTGGAACAGTCATTTAGTAAACGCTGTTTAAACATTGGGTCTCATTATCATTTCAAATGCAGAAAACCTTTTACTAGGAATGTGGAACATCCCATCGAGTGTCTTCTGCATGAGATGCCTTTGTTATGGTCTCTGAAACTCCTGGTATTGGGCTGTTGGTCTTCTAGACTAATCTTCTCTGTAGGCAGAGACTGCTTGTTGGTTCCCAGCTGCCCAGACCTGATATAACCACTCAGAAACTGTATTAATTAAAACACTGCTTGGCCTATTAGCTTAGGCATATTCCTGGCTAACTTCTAAAATCTGTCCTTTGACTTCCACACATGTGCCATGTACCCCCCACACCAAACAAACAAACACACAAACAAGTGTGAGAAATCTGTCTTCTGTCTGTGTGAAGCACTGTTTGCTGTTCCATCCATTTCCTGTCCTCTTGTGATACAGGGAGCTGGACTGTGCCATGTTACGGCGCCTGGAGAAGAGGATTCTGGTTGATCTCCCCAGCCAAGAGGCCAGACAGGCCATGATCTGCCACTGGCTGCCCCCTGTGAGCAAGAGCCATGCCCTGGAGCTGCGCACAGAGCTGGAGTACAGCGTGCTGAGTCAGGTGGGCAGCCTTAGAGGGAGCCTCCGAGCTGCCCAGGAGGGCAGAGGAGCCCTCCTCATGAAAGAATAGGCTGCGGGAGACTGGGCTACAGAAAGTAGGAGCTGCGGGGAGTGGCATGGGGTTCAGATTCAGAGAGCCTATGGTCAAATCCTGGCCCTGCAGCATATCAGCTGTGAGACCCTAGGGACCTCACGTACTCTCGGAACCCAGTTACTCCATTTCTAAGACTCACAGTGGGTTATTGTGATCAATGAACTGACGGATCCTTTGCAAAGGAAAGCTCAAGGTAAGTATCTTGTTAATGCTTTCTGGGTATTGTATAAATCAGGGTTCTTGGGAGGAACAGAACTTATAAAATGAGTATATGTATATTTGATATATATGTGCGTGTGTATACACATACGAAGGGGATTTATTAGAATGGCTTACATCCTATGATCTAGCTACTTCAACAATGTCTGTCTATCAAAGTAAGGCCCACAAATTCAGACCATGGGGCTGGATGTCTTCAGAATACTCCAGAACTCCCAAGAGGTAGTTGATGGTTCTCTCACCCAGTGAAAGAATGGATTTGCTAGTGAGGACGAGCTGACAGAGAGCCAGCTTCCTCCCTCATGGCCTTGAATAGGCCGCCAGCAGAAGGCGTGATGCTGACTGAGGACATCACCTCGAAAGAGCTGAGTTTTAAAGGTGGTTCTTCCCACTTCAAATGATTTAATTAAGAAAATATCCCTCACAGATACACGCAGCTGCTTCAGTTTTAGTTAAGCCCAGATGTAGTCAAGTTTACAGCCAAGAACAGCTACCACGGGCATCCGTTCCCAGGATCTCTGCTTTGGGTAGACTCTTAGCCTAATGCTTTCTAAAGTCCCTCAAAACAAGAATGGCCTTGTTCAACACAAGAACAAAATGTCCACTTTAGCCAATGTGGACTTGGGGTAAGGGCCCCACTAGGCAACACTGGGTGATCCAGTCTTCCAACTGGCGTCTCACAACGTCTTCGGAGGTATGAGGAAGCTCTCGCCCAGATGGCCAGTTTGCTGGGCGTGTTAGCATCTCCTCTCCGTCCATTGCTGACATAGTGAACAGGGGTGACAAAATTGTAAGCCAGTGCTCTGCTACTGGATCTGCCTACAAGAGTGAGTCGGACGCCAGCCTTCTGCCTGCTGACTGACCCTGGCTTTGTGGCTCTCTCAGGAGACGGAGGGCTACTCAGGCTCCGACATTAAGCTGGTCTGCAGGGAGGCAGCCATGCGGCCCGTGAGAAAGATCTTCAGTGTGCTTGAAAGTCACCAGTCAGGTATGGCTGGGACCCACAGCGATGGCAGCATGGTAGAGAAATTTGTGCCCATGTATTCCAACTCTTGGAGGGGTGTGATGGTGCATGCTCCCAGCCACTTGGGACCTGAGGCAGGATCAAGTTTAAGGGCAGCTTGGGTTACATAGTGAACTCAAGGCTAGCCTGAGCAATTTAACAAGACCCCGTCTCAAAATCCAAATTCTAAAATGGACTCAGTTAGTGGCAGAGTGCTTGCTTTGTGTGCAGGAGTCCCACCCACTCTGACCAGTAGGTGGAGCCTGGAGCCTGGTTTTCCAGGCTCTGTGGCTTTTAACATTTGTGTGCTCTCTGGTGAAATCATCACCCAACACGTACTCAGCTGCATCCTCTGCTGCAAGATTCCCGCTGCTGCTTTTTTTTTTTTTCTTCCTGGCCCATGCTGACATGGGGTGAGATTTATCTGAGATACTGTGTAAATAGTAAACAGTAATTTGATAACTATATTTAAGTCCCTTTTGGAGGCAGGGTGGTGGGGTAGCTGGGGTGTCAGGGCTGAAAGCCTCTGTTACACTTTAGAAAGGTCCCCCACAGCCCTCTTCAGATGTGAGTTTGAGCTGCATTAGCCGTCAAGAATGGGATATTGTGCAGTCTCCAGACCTGGCCCAGTAACCTGTCAAGAACCCTTGTCACCGTGAGGTGCCGCACTGCACCTTGACTGTTGCCTTTTTGTCTAGAGAGCAGCAATTTCCCTGTGATCCAGCTGGATACCGTGACCACGGAGGACTTTTTGGATGTGTTGGCTCACACCAAGCCTTCAGCAAAGAATCTGACTGAGAGATACTTGGCCTGGCAAAAGGAGTTTGAGTCTGTGTAAATAAAACTGCACTCAGCCTGCCCTGGCCAGAGGCAGCGAGAGCCTCCACTGCGTGACTGGGCTGGAAGGGAGGAGATTTTTCTTGAACTCTGGATGAATCTGGACAAATGTGTTATTTTGGAGATGAGATCTTGTGTCATGGATGTCAGCAAAGTGAAGGCTTTGGTCACGAGTGTGTGGGTCAGGCAATGGAGGGTTTCTTACAATTCCACTATAAAAGTTTGAAGAAGTTTCTTGTGGTATTTCTTATTTGTGAACTGAAGTCTTCATTTTGAAGAAACGTATTTTCTTAGTCTCTGTTCTTAATTTTACATTGTCAAGCCTGTCAGGTACCATCAGTATTCCCTCCCTCCCTTCTTCCCTCTCTCCCTCCCTCCCTTTCTTTCCTCCACCACAGGGTCTCATTGTGTAGTGCTGACTGGCTTGGAACTCACTTCGTAGACCAGACTGGCTTTGAACTCACAGAGATCCCCCTGCCTCTGCCTCCCGAGGATCAGGGTTAAAGTACTTCCCAAACGCATCCAGCAGTATGCTTTTCTAAACAGCTGAACACCTCATGTGACTGTTTCCCACCCCCTCTGCTCTAGGGGAAGGAGACCACCATAGATACCTCACCTTCTCTTTTCAGTCCCTCTTGCCCTAGCTGACCACCATGACCACTGTCCTGCCACCAAGCCCTTAACTTCTGTTTTCCCAGGAAATAAAGGGAAATCTCCATTCTCCTGCCCTGGCTACTCAGGGCTTCTGAGTATGGAACTATCCACTGGAGCTGCTGGGCTGGCTCATCTGTGGGCATATGACTGAGTATAATGATACCCCCATAGTATTCATCAATAAACAGTAGCTACCCAGGGAAGGGCAGAGACTCATAAGCCCCTCCCCAATCCATGACTGATTGATAGTCCCAGTCTCTCCCCCACCCCAACCCCGAAACGAGGTTTCTCTGTGTAACAGAGCCCTGAATGTTCTGGAACTCACTCTGTAGACCAGGCTGGCCTCAAACTCACAGAGATCCACCTGCCTCTGCCTCCCAAGTGCTGGGATTAAAGGTGTGTGCAACCACCTAGCAATTGGCCCAGTCTTGGCAGCCCTGTACAAGTGACTGCAGCTGTGTGAGCTGATGATTGTAAAACCAAGACATTCTTAGCAGAGTGGTGTGCAGCCCATCTCCCTGTCACCCACAGCTCTTCTGAGATGTTCTCTCAACTATATAGAAAGGTCTATAGTTATTTTTTAGTGGGTCAAAGGGTTGGGAAGATAGCTCAGCTGCCTTGCCTTACAAATATGAGGACCTGAGTTTGACCCTAGCATTCACATAAAAATGCCAGGTCTAGGGTACAAGCTTCAAATTAGCATGAGAGGGAGGAAACCCTGGCTCACTGGCCAGGCAGGCTAGCCTATTTGGTGAGCTCCAGGTCAATGAGATCCTGCCTCAAAGGGGGTGAGTGATGTTTCTGAGGTGACATCTGAGGTTGTCCTCTAGTCTCTAGAACATAGGTACACTTGAAAAAGATTATACGCACATTATATACATATATATGCATATACATATATATGAAATTGTATGAGAAGTTGACTTCTTCGTAGTTGGTATAAATAAAATTTAAGTTAATCCAACATGTGGGATATTTTGTTGTTATCTGTTATAAATCAGAGTTCACAACACTATAGCCTATGGTAGCAAGGAAACTGATACCACATGAGTCAAGTGTGCTAGGTATAGTGTGAGGCAGAGGTGGAGAGGGTGAACTGGTGAGGGCCAGTTCTCTCTGAAGGACACAGTAGTGAGTCAGCTCAAACTCAACATCTGCCAGGTCTACAGCTCAGACCCAACATCTGCCAGGTCTAATCTTCCCAGAAACAGTGGCGAGTGACTTGCGTCTGAACATCATCCTCAAATGGTGGCAACTGGGGTAAATCACCCTTGCTCCTGTATCTCTCGCATCCTGTAGACGTCTAAGTGGACCACACCAGCAAACCCAGCCTTTTTGTCCATGGTTGTCTTCTTCATCTCTCACCAGCTGCTTGCACTGTATCCAGCAGCTGTGACTCTGAGTGTCCTACTCAGATGAAAGGGACTGTGGTTTGAGGTTCTTTTTCATTCCTGCTGATTTAATAAGATGTTCTTTAAAACAGTGTAGGCCAACAGCCACCTGAACCCCAGAAGTTATGGAAATTGTTCCCAAGTGCCCAGCTTCTGCACTCTATATAGGAAGTCTACCATTGCTTTATGTCAGAGTCCTTTGTATGGCTAGGTTTATTTTTATATGCCTCAATGCCCTGACTTGCGGACACTCATCTTAGGAGACAGAGCTGTGCCTGCTGTCTTCCTTCTGCTTTAGCCACAGCAAGCATCTAATAAATACAAATTTCTCAGGCACGTTAGTCACAAAAACAGTTCCAATACCTATGACATGCAAGTAAATACTAGAAGCTACTCAAAGTTGTTAGTGACCTATGCAGTTCGTATGATTTTTGATCTGGCGCCTCACTGCTGCCTCTTAAAGACAGAAATGTGCTTCTAGCTAGGAGGCCTTGATGGCTGCTATCATAAAAAGCCAGCAAAGCCCTCCCTCATGAATTTCCGTGGAGAAACATCTTTGTGATTGATGACAAACAAACATGATAATGTAAACATGGCTCCACGCAAATGACTGTGATATCAAGAAGGGATTCATTCTGCCACTCAGGAAGGGCTGTTTTGGTCAAATAGATTAATGCAGTTTTAAAAATTTTTTACTGCAGGTGCCTAAGGACTTTAATTTCATGTTACTGGAACCGCTGATCCAAAGCTAACTGAACATAATAAATACAGGGTGTTTCCACCTTCCCCGCCCTCCAGGATGCTGGAGTTTGAAAGTGTGGGATTAAGGGAGAAGCGACAGAGCTATCATTCCAAGGTAGCACCCGACATCACACCTGGGGACATCTGTGGACCTGTCACAGTGGGGTGGCCCCTTTTCTGTGCAGAGCCATCACAGCGGGCTGGTCTCTGTCATGATAGATGTGGTGTGTCAGGCAGGCAGAACCCAGCCTCTAGCTGTGTGAGTCAGGAGCAACAGAAACCCGGCCGCTACTGGATTGACTCCCACTCCGCCAGTGTGTTCCGTGCTAGTGACAACCGTCGATGCCTATCATGCCCTATCTTCTGCACCTTTCCACACTCCTATTATCGTTTCGTCCATTTGCTGGCCTAGAAGATAGTGACGAAACCAGTGTGGATCCAGTCTTTTGCGTCAGCACAGCATAACCCTTTAATTCTGAGGTGGCCTGTGGGACTAGTGCTGTCCCAATGGAATCTGGAGTCACTCTGGGCTGTCGGTGGGGGATTATCTTGATCTGAGGTGATGAGAAGTGTGTGTTCAGGGTGGCACAATTTCCTGGCTGAGATCCTGGATTGTATAAGATGGATAAAAGGCCCTTGCGAGGTACAGTGCGTTCTTTGAGTGGGGATGTACGGAGGGTCGCTGCTTCAAGCTCCTGCTGCCTTGAATCCCCTACCAAGAAGGACTTGTACTGTGAGCTATAAGCTAAAACCGCCCTCCCTCCAGTTTCTTTCATATTTTTGGTTGTGAGCCTAGCCTTTAACGGCAGAGCCCTCTCTCCAGCCCCCTCCAGTTTCTTTTATCAAGGCATTTTGTCACAGCAGCAAGGAAAACTCAGATAGCTGGTGGAGGAAGCCCCTTAAACACTTGGTTACATTTCCTGCAGGAGGCCAAGAGACTGCTGAGCCCCTTACTGCAGTGTTTCTAGCAAGTGTAAGATAACAAGCTTCTGAGCTATCCTGGACTGCTGGAAAGGCCAGTTAACAAGCCCTAATGTGTGTTAATTATGTTACAGAAACACTCCGAACTCAGATTCCCATGGTCCTCAGGGACAATAGAGCAAGCTGCTTCTTCAGGCTGGACGCCTGGTTGAGGTCCCTCCCATCCTGTGGCCACGATCCACGTGATCCATCATGAGCTTGACCTTCGCTTTAGCTCTGTCTCCAGAGCATCAGCTCCACCGTTTCCTCTCCATCCACAGTGAGCCTCCAAGCACTACATTCCTGGGATATTCAGTTCATTTCCACTGGTTCAGTTGTCTGTGTGACAGCAGACATAAAAAGAAGGACTCAGTCTTGCTCAGTGAAGAGATGTGGGACGGCTTGAGGGCACTGTTACAAGATGGCCTGGGCAGGAAGCCGTGAGGCTGCACTCCATCTTGCAGGTGGAGCAGTCACCAGAGAGCACAGGAGTCCTGTGTTCTAGTGACCTTCGGTATAGTCCCCCTAGGTTCTCAACTAGAAAGCCCCTTAGGGTAAAAGCCTTGTCTTCTAGTCTTACTATTTCCCACAATAACCGAAGCCAGCACAGCGTCAGTGCACAGCAGCTACAGAATATGACTCCTGAGCAAGGGACTGCCCCTGGCACCCCAATCCCGGACCACAGATGGATGTGGCCCCTTGCCCAGGTGCCAGGGCAGTGCTACTTTCTCGCTGGCTGAGCTGTTACCCACATGCAGCTCTTCCTGAGGTCTGTGCAGCACAGCATCTGACCCTCAAGACCAACCTCAGCCCTTGTGGGTTCTCTAGGCTGAATATGGGCTCCCACAATACTGTGTGGGGAGGGGCGAGGTGACTTACTCTTGCTCGCAGCTGTACCCCCAGCTGCTCCACACTTCCTTCTGACTGGGCGTGGCAATCAGGTCACACTGCCACCTGCACCTGACAGTGTGTAAGCACTAAGTTGGGGGCATTTGCAGAAAAGAAGGAAGCACTCATTAAAGTACATTTATTTAGCTTTGTTCCCTTCCATCCAAGACAGAGTTGATCTCTAAACAAGCATCAGAGCCTGAGGCTCATTAACATCAGTGTGTGCCTCAATAAGGTGAGCACAGCAATGATGCACAATTACATTCTAATAATTCAATGCCCAAGAGCCCTGGGAAACAATTGCCACGGCCTCGGATTAGCACAGCATGCAAATGCATCGGGAAAATCATTACCTACTTAGTCTCCTTCGTTTGGGTGGGTTTAACATGAGAAGAATAATCCAGGCGCCGAGACGAGATCTCATTTTGCCACTGTAGTAAGAAGTACATAAAAGCTTGAATCTGTCCCAATAGCTCCTA